TTATTTTGTCAATTTGGGGATGCAGTTCACGCCAAAAGCCTCAATATTTTTTAATGACTTTGTGCTCAAATAATATTACGATTCAAGTGGAAAGCAAATGGGTATTTACGAGTTTTTAGTACTTAATTAAATAGACAAAGTTTGCCAATTTCCAGATGAAGGTATTTATTAAGTTTCAGGCGAATGTTAATAATTTGATAACAAGGGGGTCCACGGATTAATATGGTAATTGTTGTTTCAAAAAATATTTTTACTTTTTCTTTCCTTTGTCTTGAAATATCTATTTCTTCTGACAGAAGGGTGGTTAGTGAAAGTCGTGTTATGCGCGCTCCGCCCAGATTTATTTACAGTTGCGAATGGAAATCTTTAGATCATCAAAATTGTATGACAAGGTTTCGCACGCTTTTTAATGTTAACAAAGAGAGCCGTATAAAAGAAAAGAAACATCCTGTTTTGGAAATTGCATTAGAGGAAGTGAGTGAGATGTCCGGAAGTGATAGCTAGCATCGAACAGGTAGACACGTGATATCTTCCTCGAACTCGACGTCCTTCGCATTAGGTGCGTGCCATGCCATTAGCTGTGTCACATCAATTACTAAGGTGTAGCAGCTGGACTGTACCATGGCAACGCGGGGTAAGTTCGTAATCCAAGTCCTGAAATGGTATGAACTGTTATTTTTGAAGAATGAACGGTAAACACTACCGTTTCACACGGTTTCATGCAAGTTACGCCATCAAAATTTTTTGAGATAGGTGCATTTTGACAGAGTTTATAATTTTCGAAGGGGGCACATTTCAATGGGGTTATGAATTTTAGTAGGGGAGGGGAGTATGAAGTCAAGTAGGGGTAGAGTGCTACCCACTGGTAGCACTCTAATGATATGTCTACATTAGGAGATCACGTGGCCATCCTCTTTTCACACGCCTCGGAGGGTTATCAGGAATTGAAGAGGAAGCAAGGTTAGAAACGAGAGGGTTGGGATGATTCTGAAGTTTATTATGGAAGGATAGGTATCTGGATTGGGCCAGATCTGAAACATAAGAAACATTAAGGTCATTATAGATGGTTTTATTTGTAATAAAGTATGGAGCATTGAGGATTTTACGAAGGATTTTGGATTGTAAGGATTGAATACGAGAGGTATTCGATGGAGTGGAGCCCCATAGCTCAACTCCGTAAGTCCAAATAGGTCTTATTATCGTCAAGTATATGAGTCTTTTGTAGTTAATTGAAAGTTTAGAGCGTTTGTCCAGTAAGTGCTAAAATAATCGGAAACGTCAAGCGGTTTCTTGTATTTTCAGTCTGGTATGAGGATTCCAAGTTAGTCGTTTGTCCAGGTGGAGTCCTAGGTATCGAATTTGCTCAAAAGGGATAAGTTGAGTATTTTTAAAGGAAACTGTAGAACAGGAAGTCGTTGGTTTACGACGAAGGGTAAAGGTAATTTGGTGGAATTTATTGGAGTTTTCTTTAACCTAAAATGTTTGGATGTTTTCTTTCCATAATGTCCTAAGGTCCATTCTTCCCCACGCGACCTATTATTGATTTCTCCACTTCGTTATCCCTGGTCTTCCTTGCTCTTCCTCGTCTTCTTCTTTCCCTAGTTTTCCATAAGTTCAATTCTTTAGGTAGTCTTCCTTCAGGCATTATTTTCGCATGTCCATACAACTTCAGGCGTTTTATCTCAATCTCTTCAGAATGGTTCCTTTTGCCTCCATCTTTTCTCTGATGGTCGTATTTCTCACTTTATCCATTATGGATATTCCCGTCGCTAGTCTCCAGTAGTCCATTTCGGTGGCTAGCAGTTTATTCCTGAGGTTGCTTTTTAAGGTCCAAGTTTCTGATCCGTATGTCATAATGCTTAGTACTATACTATTGTCGATTTTTTTGGGGGAATAATGTCCCGATTCCGCAATACTGAGTTGAGCGTCACATATGGTCTTTTTGCCATCTGAAATTTTCTTTTTATTTCTACATCACATGTACCATCTATTTCAATTATGGAACTATCTTAATGTCAGAGGTAAAATAAGGAAGAGATATAGGTCTTCGTGCGCCTGTGTACTGTGAATATGGATTTAGACCGATTTGTGATTGTCTTTGAACCTAAGTAATTCAGTGGAAAGGATAGTGTCAGATTCATCGTAAAGGAATCGTCCATGAGTAGTCTATTTGTTACATAGCACCGACCAAAAGAATAATAATAATAGCCTTTTATTATGCGATATATATACAATGTAAATATATAATAAAATAAAATTCAACATTTTCACTATAAATATTCTATTAATTGTATATATATATATATATTTGCATTTCATCTCCGCACAGGCCCTCCAAAAAGAAAGTAATAATCTAATATTCTCAGGGGACTAATTCTACAGGGAAGAGAGAGTTGTGTTAATCACGATATTATATTTCAAAATATATATTAATAATAAGGGTTAGCGAACGCGAAGGTTCGATGCCAATACCACCTTGTTGTATATATTCATCAATCCACTGGGCATCGTCCGTACCCAACCACGCCAAATCATCCTCAAAGCAACCTTCCCACCTTTGCTTCAGCATACTTCTCGAACGCTTGCCAATCGGCACAACGCATATTAAATGTTTCGGAATTCTATCGTTACTAAGTCCAGCAATTTCACATGTTCATTTTATCCGCCTCAACGCAATCATCTCAATTATATTAACCGTATGCAGTTCGCGAAATTCAGCATTGTGTAACCCCATGATTTCTCCGGTTCACTCATCCTTCTTCATTCCGAATATTCTAGGCAATACTATGTTATATATACATATATATTTTTCTGTTTGCATTACAGACCATGTAGATGTTTTGCCGCCTTAACAAGACCGCTTCATCTCTGCCTGTCTTGGGCTATTTCTTTCCATTTATCTTTGTTGATTTTATCTATGCCTCTGCCTTTTGCACTTATATGTGGTGTTTTGCTTTCTATTGAGGCATTCATTGTTACGTAGAGGCTTCCAGATGGATTGCAACGAGCTACATACCCCGCCCATCTTAACCTCCCCTCCGTGTCTTCATATTATGGGATATTGATAGACCTTTTTTGCAGTTCTTTCTTCTCCATGTGTTAGTATTCTGATCCCAGATCGATATATAATATTTTATAAATTGATACTCTCATTTATGATAGTATATATATATTTCATTATTATTATTTTTTTTTCTAAGCAAAATCGAAGAGCTAAAGAAAATACAGAATGTGAGTCTCGAATAAGTGCCGCACGAGTTGAATTTCGGACTGCTTTACATAAACATGAGTAGTCTAAGCTAAGGAGAATATTATTTAAACATCAGAACAAACATAGAACAGTAAGCCAACTTAGGGTAGCCAAATTAACGAAACCTTCATTTTATTTTAATGGAACGGCCTATAGACTAGAAAGAGAAGAAAACTGTACTAAATGCAACCTAAAAAACCAGAAAATTTATGTCATTTTTTAATAGAATGTCGGATGTATAAAGATTTGAGGGAACATTACATAGAGAAACATATTACAGAAGACAACAATTCAATGCTCGGTAATTTGTTAACGAGAGAAAAACTCGCAAAGTTGAACGATATATTTTATTTTACAGTAGGGAGCCTTAAAATAAGATCATTCATAAGGAATGATTAAACTCCAGCAATATTTATGTTTACGAAAAGACATTTTTATCTTCGACTAAGAAGTTGAGCATATGTATTGTTGCAATCTGCTACATTGTATTGTAAGAATATATTATTGCTAATTTTAAAATTCCTTTAATGAAGACTTATTCGATTCTTTTTATATATTTTCAAAGTCAATACTTTTTATTTATTGTTGTACAGTTGTTTTTCCTTTTCTGTTTTTTTTTTTTTTTACATTACAATTTATATATCTAGTTTATCTTATTTATGAAAAAAGAATATTTCTCCGATTTATTTGTATATTTGTTCAGTACTTTATTTTGTTTCTTTTTTATGTAATAATGTATTTAATGGAGCCAGACCTCCTGTAATTGTAAATATTAATTACAAAATACAGAATTTTCATTCATATATATAAATAGTCTGTGGGGCAGACCCCCTTACCGTGCACCCTCCTCCCCCCCACATCCCTATAAATTGCATATCGTTGTGTTCCTTGTAAATATTTATTAAAAAAAAGCTAATGTTCCCACAAAAAAAAGTGAACGCACTGCCCCAAAATGGCGTCCAAAGATGGCGGATTGACGACTTTGACTTTAGTTAGTTTTTTGGTCACTGAGAATCAGCATTTGGCTTAATTTCCTCATAGTTGGTCTTTTATTAAAGCTAATTAGTCATAGAATAATAAATCATGAAGAAATATAAAAAAATAATTGGCTTAGGCTATGAAAAACACCAGTAAAGTCAACTTTTTTAACAAAAAAATTTTCAAGTTACAAATCAAGCGTCGTTTGTAATGAAACGGTCTACAATAACGCAAAACGTGGTGAAATAAACCATCTGGAAAATATATTTCTCTATCTAAAACGCTGATTACTTTTTAAAATATTTGAAGCAGTTCCGTAGAAAATACACTTATGCGGCAGAAAAGCGGTACTGGCGTGGGTGCCTACAGGCCTCTACCACACCATTCAGTACACATAAATGGCTTAGTTAAAGTGATATAATAACATTTTTGGTACATTATATTGGTTTTATTAACGAACAAATATTAATGCAATAATTTAAATTAAAAAAAAAAAATTAAAATTAAAAAAAAAAATTATTATTTTTTTTTAAATTTAACCTCCTTTATTCTATTTATTCGTAGGTCGTTTAAGAATACCTCAATTGTAAAAATGATACAATTATAATAATAAATTTTAATTAAAAAATACTTTGTTAAATATCTTGATTTTTTTATTTATTTAACGTTTGCAATTTAACACTGAGTTTGGTATATTTACTGAATCTTAGAGGTAAAAATTTTATACGCCCACAATTTATTAATTAAATAATTAATTTGTATTTAATTTCAGAACTGAAATTGGAGGACCATGTTCTACCCCTGTTCTTGACATACCACCACGCCATCCTCATTATGGCAGCTTACCTGATCTTCGTGAGGTACGTCGGCCCGTTCTTGATGGGCGGGAGGAAGCCCTTGGTTCTGAACAGCGTAGTCAGGGCTTACAATATATTACAAGTCTTAATGAACGTATATATAATATATTCCGTAAGTACAATTAGGACTTCAAAAAATCTAGTATGTTAATCATACATAGGGTGACCGTTACGGAAACGGCAATATTTAAAGTGGCCATAGTTGAAAAAAATCTGGTGCGCGCAACACAAAACTTTCACTTACCGCTCTACTTCGAATAAAAATTATTTTCAGGCAATGCTGGGCTATTATAACATTTTTTGAAGTGCATTTTAAACGGAGCTAAAGCTTAAAGCTTACAGATAACAAGTCATTAAGTCCATTATAATTACAAAATGTCTATTTAATATATCAACGACAGGCAATAAAAATCTAGTCACTACATCTGCTTTTATAAACCACACAACTTTCTTTGCTTCTATAAACCACAGAATGACTAACTCCAATTTCAACATTTTTGAGTGATGTCATTTTAGTGATATTTTTAGTTGAAAAAGTTATCTATGCTGAAAATGAGTAAGTTGATTCCGGAGGTGGTGATTGCAATGTTGAAATATAGAACTCAGAATAAAGGTATAAATTTAGGTACTTATTTCTTATGATAGATGTTCTTAGGAAAGGTACATTATTAAATTTCTGTACAAAAAATGTTTTTTTAGTCTCAACAATTAAAAAAGTATATCTTAAATTTATCCAAATTTTCGCTTCTTCAGGGAAAAAACTAGAGACCATATCTTTCCTCCTAATTATTCGATTATAACGATTTTTTTTTTTTTTTTAGGAAATTCCACAAACTTTTAAAAAACCAAATACAATATCCGCCAAAAAGTGTATATAGTTATTCAGAATTTTATTTTACCATCCCTCGTAACTTTTTTTTCCAGTTTCTTTTCGTTGAAGTATGTTATATAGATAAATTTAAAGGGTGCCGAGAACATGACTTTAGCGAAGTTTCATTAAAATCGGTTCATTCGTTTAGACGCTACAGTCTATAGCAACGCAGTTTTTTCTGCATTTTTTTTTTCTCCTTTATTAACTTATCAAATTCTTTCAAAAGTTATATGTAGCATTTTTTCGTAACTCTGAATAATGCGAAATGGTTAACGTTTTAAAATAAACCATATTAAAGGTACTTTAGAGGAAGATATGTATATAAACATTGGGCATTTAAGCCCTGTAAAGTGACATCAACGGGGATAAGACCTAAATGATATTAAAGACTACTTAATTATACAATGAAACACCGAGTTTGATCAAAATCGTTAGAGCGGTTTGTGAGAAAATTGTAAAAATGTGTTTCAGCGTTCATATAAAGTGGCACTTCCGGTTAGCCAATTTTAACGAAAAAGTTGCTGTCACAACCGGCCCATATACAAACCTTAAATACTTAATATCAGTTTCGTACTACTTTTCGTTTATGAGCAAGAGTGTTAACACACTCACACAGACCATTTTGCGACACTTGATTATTTGGACACATAGTGAAATTTATGAATTATTAAAAATTATATAAGTAAGAATATTTTTTCCCAGTAATTTATTCTCCCATTTATTCCACTCAATTATAACATTACATCATAACGTTTCGGGATCCAGTTATATCCCATCTTCAGACAGTATCCTGCATCATCTCAAATCTCCATAAGACTTGTCATGTTAATTAAATTGTTTTATTTTTGTCCATATTACCTGGAAATCCTATTTTAGTCTCCTCTAGGAAGAGTCTAGTAAGATACTGAATATTAATAATACTGAATCAGTATATAAAGTCACTAGCGGATCCAGGATTTAATTTTGGGGGGGCTTCAGCCCGGAAGCTTTTTTTTTTCATAAAAATAACGATATTTACTTTGGAAAAACAGAAAGAATCTAACTACCTATATGAAATGGTGTTTAAGTGATTCCTTAAGTCCTTTTAAATGTAATTACACCAACAATAATACTTTAAGAGGTATTTTTTAATTTTTTTTTCCATAAAACGTGGTTATGTTTTACCATTTTTGGGGGGGGGGGGCTTCAGCCCGAAAGCCCCCCCCCCCCCCGTAGATCCGCCCGTGTATGAAGTGGCACTTCCGGTTAGCCGATTTTAAGGAAAAAGTTGCTGTCACATCTAAGGCATATATCTATCTTAAATATGTAATATCAGTTTCGTACGACTTTTCCGTTTTCAGCTAGAGTGTTCACATGCACACAGACCATTTTTCAGCAAGGTTGAAAACTCAGATTCAAAAATTTTCATGATCGCAATACTTACACTTACTATATATTACGTATATAGGTAAGTGATAGTAAAACTACTATGTTACTTGCATTTTATTCTCATTTGGTCTAATGCATGTCTATTCCCGAAGCCAAATAATACCTCCTCCTATTGTTTAACATGGACATACATTAGACAAGATGCGAATAAAATGCAAAGATCATGGTGGTTTTTATCTCTTATTTATCTCTTCACATAATTTATATCATTATCTGATGTCATTTCATTTCTTTTAGAAAATGTATGTTGGCCTATGGTTCTTTCTACATTTAGCCATTATTCGGCAATGCATATATTTGCCAACATGTATGTTCTACACAGTTTTTCATCAGGTAATTATACAAGGTGGATTGTAATAATTGTGAAGCGACATACATTGGTGAAACAAGACAAAATATGGAAAAAAGGATGAATCAGCATCTCAATGATACAAGAAATAGTGAAACTGATAATAAAACAGCCGTAGCCCATCGTAGTATTACTAACAGACTACTAATATTTAAAATTAGATATTACTAGTTTCAACTTAGTAAAACCACAAATTTTATATAAGGAAACACACAGCATACAGAGAAAAATAATAGAGTCAATATTCATCATAAAACATAATAAAACAGCTATTAATTTTAAAACCAATGCGGCCAAAATAGGGAGTCACTATGCTTATCTTATAAACAAATTAGATATGTAAAAATAAATTTAAGAATTGGAGTTTGACCCCTTGCTTAAAGTTTAACTTTCAATATCTCTGACTAGACTATTCAACATTGAAAATGTAAAATACATATAATAATAGTAATAATTAAATAAATAATTAATTTAAAATTACATTTTAAGCAATAAGACAAAAATAAAACAATTTAATTAACATGACAAGTCTTAAGGAATAAAAATAAATGACAATAGAATTATATAATATGTTGGAATTTATAGAATTTTTGTTGGATTTTGATAACTTGAAAATGAGCAAAGTAGATTGAAACTTTGTTATAACTTGGATAAATAGTATAATTATAAGGACTTATCTGTGTGCCCTTGAAAAACACACTACTGAAAGTAGCTAAATACATACTCTTAAAAACATTAAAACATTTAAAAAACATTGTTATTATATAAAATAAAGTAATAAAATTGTTGAACTTAATGAGTGAAAGAATCTCAAATTAATATGCACTATGCCTTCTAGTACCCATCCTAGGGATAGGCCAAAGTGAAAATGGGTGGATTGCATAAAGGCATAAAAAAGGCTCATCTTGCGGGGTTAGGTTTGGATATGGCATCAGGTTTGCTAAGCCCTTTATTATTATTATTTAATTCTGATAAGATGCTCTTCTTTTTTATCAACTTTAAATTTATCGGCTAGAATCGACTAATTGAAGTGTTTATGCATTTGAATTATCACAATATCTCAAAAACTAAACATCGTACCTGCATATTATGATAAAGAGAAATGTTCAGCATTTCATCCTGTTTGTAATGGCTATTATTTATAATTTATATTTCATATTTTTAATCTCACCTTGTATTTTTTCACTTCTATCATGTGGTCTAAAGCACACACCTTAGTTTTATTTAAATAAATTCAATCAAATAAACTGTTTTATTAATATTATCTAGGAATAATTGTTTAATGTTATGTTGAAGGTATGTTCCTCAACGGGTATTGCAATACTGGATCCCTGGGGACGGGTGTGCAATGTGGTATCTTCCGCAATTGAAGACAAATCATTGGCCAAATTAAGGGTAATATTTATAATTATATTTAATAATAATATGTATATTTAATTATATTATTATATATTACAATTATTATATGAATATGGGGGCGTCTCTGGGGATCTCAAGGCAGAACTAAAACGTTTGATAAATTGCTTTGTACGATTCATATTCAAGATGCAAAGGGATGCCTCTGTTTTCCGTTTTTATGCAGAACTGAAGTGACTTTATCCTTCCTACTGTCGTAAGTATTCCCTGGCATCCTTCCTCTTTCAAGTCATTCAATCTCACCGCCCTTCATACGTCTCCTAGCTCCTTCAATTAAAATCCTCCGTTCATTCCCGCAATACTCGTTCCCGGTCTTCTGATTTATACATAAGGGCCCACCGAACCGCTGCTTTTGACAGATAATTTATTATCTGATCCCTATGGAACTCCATCCCTTCCCACATCCATCAATCCAATACCCTTCCTACTTTTAAATCCCACCTGTTCAATTATTTCTTATCCATCCAGTCTCCATCAAATTGTAAATAGATACTACTGTAAATATGTACATAAATTATTAGATTGTTCTTCATTATTTTTTTTCAATTTTTTATTATTAACAGATGAACATTAGAATGTAATTTTTTTTTTTTACTATGACTATTTAATTACTCTGTATTTTTGATTATGTATCTCTGAGGCTCATTAGCCCACATTTCTGTCTTTCTGAATTATTCTAAAGGGGCTCATACTAGAAGAAATAAAGTATTATTATTATTATTACATTAAATTACCTTTACTGGTTTCACAAAAGATTTTTATTTTTATACATACAAATAATGATTAAAACAACTTTGAATATATCATTTAATTCTGGACACACCTCCAAATATTGGTGAAGAAGGATTTCCAATAGATTTTGTATAAACCATTCGGTATTATATATTTATGTGATTACAAATAATATCATATATTTTTATTCCAGGTATTGGAGAGTCTTTATTACTATTATATCAACAAAATTATTGACCTTTTTGATACAGTATGTATATAACTTTAATTATTTTTTTTAAATCAGATATATTTATAAAATTCATTCTTTTTATTTTTATTTCATATACAGGTCTTCTTTATACTGAGGAAAAAGCAATCACAAATCACATTTCTCCATGTATATCACCATGTGCTAATGATTGGGAGTACATGGATTTCGACTATAATATTAAGAGGTAGGGTCTACAAAAATACTGATGATGATAGATCAAAAACATTTTTTTTTTAATTTGATTTTGATAAGAACACAATGACATTAAATATGGAGAGAGAGATGTAACGATATTTGCACAAAATTATTTATGAACAGATTAAAATTGTATTTATTTTGAAAATTATTCCAAGAGAATCATCACTAGTTTCACGATAACAGCTTAATATATTCATATTGACCCAGAAAAAATTAATAAAAAATGTTTAAATACTCATATATTCTATACAAGAACATAAAAATAGTACAGCCGAAACAATCCACAAAGTTTTTAGTCAAAAACTTTTATAATCGTTACTAAAGCTCCATGGTATGTCCAAAATATTACTATACATAAAGAACTACACATGCCAACAGTTAACGACTACATGTTAACACACTACTAAATATTTCATTTTAACTTACATGGACATCATATCACGCTCATACAATATACGGTGACAATTAACATACCCAGTATTATTCATCAATATTCTTTTCTACGCCAGGACAGATCTTATCGCACGGGAGGTGGTGTCGGGTTGTATGTCCATGACAGTCTTAAGGCCAAAATCCTCTTGCAGTCTCCTTCTCATGACTTCCCTCACATGGAATACATGTTCGTTGAAATTTACTCTATTACCTCTCCTCTATTATTTGTCGTAGTTTACCACCCTCCTCGTGTTCCATTTGATAACTTCTTTGAATCCTCTCTTGTCAACCTGGTTTCCCATTACAACAATATATTATTATTATTATTGTCACTGACGATTTTAACATGAATATGCTTTCACAATCTCCTGAAAAATACTTCCTATCTGACCTACTGTTTTCCCTTAATCTTTATCTTGTTCCTTATTCTACCCATCACACACAATTTTCCGACATCTGGTTAGACCACTACATCTCTGATTATAACATCAAAATCCTCTCCTCTTCTCAACATCCCGTTCCATTTCTTTCATCACATGACCTGTTCCAAATTACATAAGACCTACCCGTGAAATCGTTTACTCTCAAAATAGTTTCATACCATTATTTAAACCTTCTCTCCTATGAATCCCTTGAACCTGACCTTGATTCTTTTTGAGAAAATCTGAAAGATTTAATTTTTTTGTTTTTACATTATAATTATGTATGTCCTTGGGAAAACACATGGCAATTAGATAGACAGATGGAAAATAACTTTATCCAGGGACATACTCCCTTAAGAATAAAATAATTGTACAAAAAAAGATTATTTCTGATCCACAGTTTGATACAATAAATAAAACGTTAAGTAAACAAACAAAAAAAAACTATGAACAAAACACTTGGAACTATGAACAGAACGCTTAAAACTAAATAAAAAGTCCATCGAAAATGGTAAAACTGTATACATATTCACATCTAAGAAAAAATAAATAAAATTCTTCTAATAAATTAGCTCTGACTTTCTACTGAGAAAGCTAAAACTTAGTAAAATTTAAAAAATGCCTAACTATGTAAATGCTGGACGATATGTAAATACATCATAAGAAGAGCATAATCATTTCTTAATGTAAAGACATGTAATTTAATACTAAATAATAATTTAATCATGTAAATACAAAAAAAAAAAAAAAAAATAGATGCATTGAGTGTTAAGTTTATTTAAGGGTACCAATCTCATTTGCTAAACTGGCTCTAGCTCTTGAATGGTTTTGAAGTTAATAGATTTCTTAATCTAGTCAAAAGATGGCATGGCATTGCTTTGACTTGTCATATCCAATTTTCACAAAACATTTTGAACAATTCATTCTGGATCTAATCAATTCATCGATTATTGAAACCAACTGTGCATTTTAAATTGTTTTAGATGAAATTCTAGTTAACTTCGCAGCTCTCAATTCCCTGGTTCATGTTTTTATGTACTCCTATTATTTCCTTTCAAGCTTTGGTCCTGCGATCCAGAAATATCTTTGGTGGAAAAAATACATCACATCGTTACAAATAGTAAGTATAGCTCAATGTTAATATTCTTTAATAGAGATTAAGCTATAAATACCTGCTAATCAATCATTATTAACATATTTTTTTCATTTTTAAAATGATTTATTTGTCATATTAAATTGTTAATCATTCAATCCCACCCTCAAAAAAAAAAACTATTTTGACAAAATGTTACTAATTTACATTATAAATTATATTGCATCATTTTGCTCTCTCAATTTGGCCATTTTGAAATAATGTATATTTCCATTTTAGTTACATTCCTCTACTGGAAATATTCATTAATTCATTATTTTTCATTAAAAAGCTCATGGTGATTTGATATGATTACTTTATAAAAAATAAAGATTTTTGTTTAGGTGGAAAATTTGAATATAAATATTTTTTATGGATTTAAAAGACCTTAAAATGTGTATTGTCATTAAAAACTCAGATTTAAAATTTTTGTTAACTACAGTACTTTCCTTTACTATACACTGCCTCAAAAAAGTTTCCATATAGATAGTTTGTCTTTAACATTGCTAATAATCTATTAATTATATTATTTTTATTAGTCAGGAAGTGAAGTAGAGATAAAGGTGAATCAACATGATAAATCCATGCTGGATCATTAATCCCTTAGCAGGAAGAGATATAACTTTAATTTGAATGTCAAACAATTTTCCATACATCTTAATTCTGTTTCTATTCAATGCCATTATTTCTCTCAAATTTATTATCTCAACACTACATTCATGGTTTAGTTAAGGTTCAACCTATGTCAAATCATCATTAAACTGATTGAATCCCATTCTGCTAATAGAGCTGGTTTGAGATCTTCTTCAATTCAAACACCACGATTTTTCATGTACCATCCTAATTCATCCCACAAAAGTTGTATTGGGTTCATGTCTGGTGATTGGAGAGGAGTGTACAATTTTTTGGAACATTTAATATTATGCTCCCATAATATTACACTTCCACCTCCACACTTGAAGGTTGGTCATAAATTCTTTGAAATATCTGCTTCTTTGTCTTTTCTCCAGACATAACACCTGCCATCTGGTACAAAAAGGTAGAATTTGGATTCATCTGAGAATATCACAACATCCCAGAAGCTTTCTGGCTTATTGGTTTACTCCATGGCAAATGTAAATGCTCTTCTTCTTATTTGTTTGGCTTTTTTCATGAAAACCTTAGTTTCTCAGAAAATTCAATACAGTTTCTTTATTTATGCATACCTCATAATCTCTTTCAAGCTTCTTATGAATTCTATTGAATTTTCTTGGGGGCCTGAACGAGGCTTATCCTCCAACGATTTTAATTTACTGTGTCTGTTTTACAGGTACTGCACAGTTGTACACCATTTATTCAGTAAAGTTCCAATTTTTCAAAGAAAAATCCTTGACTAATCACACGATTTGGTCACCAATGCACAGCTCTAAATGCATAATGATGATTTGAAGTAGGCTGAACCTTAACTATACCTTGAATGTAGTGTTGAGATAATAAATTTTGGCTAAATAATGGCATTGAATAGAAATAAAATTAAGATATTATGATGTATGGAAACTTTTTTGACCTTCAGATTAAAATTGTATCTCTTCTTGCTAAGGGATTAGTGATCCAACATGAACTTGTAATTATGTTGATACGCCTTTGCCTCTACTAGCCTTCCTAATTATTAAAAATAATATCATAAATAGCAATGTTAAAGAAAAACTAACTATGGAAACTTTTTTGAGGCAGTATATATTTTGTATGCATTATAAATACTATTAATAAATACTATATATAAAAATATGGGAGTGGGGTAGCCCAGTGGTAGGGTACTGAGCTTCCAATGCTAAAGGTCCCAGGTACGAATCCCGTCTCATGGCAGAAAAATTATTTATTCTGTTTCATTGGTTGTGGGGCGACTATGGGTACATAGACCCATCTGGGACACACCCAGCCTCTACAGAGTGGGAACCCTTAATTAAAATAATTAATTAAGAGGAAAAACCTGATGGTTGAGGGTGATCTCGGTCAAATCATCTCCTTGCACAACTGTAGACCAAGAAACAGTGCTTTCCCTAAAAAGTTCTGGACCTAACAACCTTCATGTGTTGTAGTGGTACAGGATTTTTTTTTTTTTATATATATATAATAATCAATACTGTTTTATGATATATATTAAACATAAATTATAAAAGAATTTTTTTGTCAAATGTTATATTCATATACCATTTTAAACATGATAACAAGACTAGATAAAAACATCTCATTGAGTTTCATGAATTTAATCTATGTTTGGTAATTAGTTAGAGATGAAGAAGGTAATTATTTTAATCTTATCATAAATCATACGTCTATATTTTTATTTCAATATAATAATAATACAGATATATGACTTTTATATTTTAATAAATTAAAATAAACATATATAATATTGTTAATATTTTAATTAATATTGTTTTTCAGGGACAGTTTATCCTAGCACTATCGATGCTTCTCAAATTGAAATTTTCTGATTGTGAATGCACTTCGGGTGTATTTTATCTGTGGAGCTTCAACATCTGTACTCTTTTAATCTTATTTGCTGATTTTTACATTAAAAGTTATTCAAATAAAAGAAAAGTTAAATAAATATTGTTGCATGCCTAAGTATGGTACGTAACACTTTTGAAATAAATTGAAGATATACATGAGTTCAGGGAAAGTAGACATGCAAACTATATATATATATATATATATATATATATATATATATATATATAACAACATTAAATTTATCCTGTTTAATTTATTAAAATTAATTATAGGTATGAATTAAACTATAACAATGTAAAGATCTTTCTTAACTTAGTTAATTTCCTGATTTTTTATCTATAAAAAAATATAAAACAAGGTTAGTGGCGGCCTTAAATATTTATTTATACTGGGAAATGACGTCATCTTTCCCTCCCCTTAAAAAATTTATTTTATTTCTTATGCTATTTTATATTATGTAATATTTTAATTTTATTTCATTCAGCATTGCTCAAATACAGATGCTTTAATGATGGACTAAAATTAATTATTTTAATTAATTATTAATTATTTTTCATTATATTAATAAGGGGAAAGCGCCCTTAATGACTGCTCCTCCAGGTTGGCGCCTCTGAACAATGTAATCCCGCTTCTTAACTGTGTGTCTTGTTGGGTAATATATCTTTATTCGTTGATTTTATGTAATTGTGAGAAAAGCAAAACAATTTTATTTACAGTGTTAAATTTGTCTTTCACATTTTGTACCTTTAATTATATAAAAAAAATTCAGAACACATCAAAAAGTAAAGATACTAAAGTAAAAATTAATGAAAATGATTATCTTACACAATTCAATTTGATGTCCAATAATGTATTTAAAAAATCTTAATTCTAACATTTTAATCTGGATTAAATTCTATTTAAGTACAGTACAGATGCATAATTTGGTAATTATCAAAATTTTTAAATACCAGTGTTAAAATAAAGAGACTGTTAAGCTTAATGTTATTATTTTAATTATTTATGTCTTTTCAAAATGTAATTACCCATTTTGAATTCATAAGGGATATATTTTATTGTAAATAAGATTCAGTTAAAATAAATTAAATTAATGTACTTTCTTTGTAATTATATTAATTTGTTTCCACATGATAAAAAATAATATATAAAGTTAGGAATAGAAAAATAACTTTATTCTGGGATGAAATCTCTTTAAGTATAACAGACGTCTACAAAAAAAAAAAAATTACTTCTTGCCTGAAAACTGTTGCATTAAATAAATAGATACACAAAAAACCTTAAGTAAACAAACAATATATATAAAACTAATGCAAATATTTACAAAATACATAGAAGAATATATTGAACAAATAAAAAATGAAACAAAATAATTGTGGCTTAGCTAAACAAAAAAAAAAAAAAAGAAATAAAAAAGATAGAATGGGAAACAATCAATAAATTTCGCTAATGGATGAGCACAAATTGTCCAATAAGCAAACGAAAACTACAACTGTTCATAATCAATTTTTAAATACTATGATTTTTTTTTTTATTATTTTAATGGAATTTACAACTGTATTACATAGAGAATACAATAAGTAAATGTGAAATTGGTAACATGGCATGTACAACATGAAGAGAAACTACCCATTGGTAGAACTCAAATTAAAGTTCTATATTAGAAGATCCCGAGGCCATCTTCTTTTCAGACGCCTCGGAGGGTTATCAGGGATCGAGGAGGAAGCTGAATCTGGATTGGGCCAAATCGGAAACATATGGAACATTAAGGTTTTTATGGATGATTTTATTTGTGACAAAGTAAGGAGCGTTGAGGATTTTACGAAGGATTTTGGATTGTATAGCTTTCTCACAGTTTTCATTAGCTGAACAATATCTATATTTCAAAGCCTGTAATTTTACGCAGGAGAATAAAATCTCGGGTTTGATATCAACCATTTTTGTCCATCAGCGAATACTAAAATGTGGAAAAATTTATACATTTGCAAATTTCATATTTGATGAATCGTGAAAAAAAAATCTCAGTACAAATTAAAGATTCATATAGCTTCTGTTAGTGAAAAAATTGTAAATAAATAAAGTGTTTTATAGGAGAGCATAAAAACTAAGTCGTATTTCTTTATGGCTTATCAGTGTAATTTTATATTTTATTTTCCTCTGCTATTTTTCAGAGTACCAGGCTATGTATATATCAGTTACATGGTAAGAAATATATTACCAATAGAAAAGCACAACTAAAATAAAATGTAAAATTATTATATAGAACCTTTTCCACTAACGGTAGCGATGTATACTTGTAGGTATGTTTTCACTAGTGAAATGGACGGAACAAAAAATCTATTAGAAAAATTCAACATTTTGTTTGTACGGAATTAACGAGACCAATATTTTCCCTCAGTCAGAACAAAACTAATTCAAGCTGAAATATAAAAATATGATTGAAATTCAAACAACTTTTATGATTAAGGTAGAAATTTAGTCCACGACGACATGGTTGAACTTCAATAGAAACAAACAAAATCACAAGCAAGACTTTTTTTTATTAAGTAAAAAAAGTAAAAATTAATTAAATTTTACTGAAAGTTACAGGAAATCTAAGTGAAGACAGTAAGTGTTATGTCAGTAACGTTTGGAATCGACCAAACAATACAGGATAAATTAACTTTTTGAATAAAACCTAAAATATTATAACCTCATAAAAATATTTTATTACCCTTATTTATATAACTCCTATTCCTTGTAATCAATGCATTCCAAATTTCATAGCCATTATATTAATAATAGTTATTTAGATTAATTTTAATTATTAAATAGAATTAAATTAAATTGGTACTAGAAAATTTCTGAACTATTCTTCAAATTTCCTCCAAGTTTGGGTCAAATTGAATGAGCCGTTTTCTAACTATAGGGGTGTCAAATAATACGTTTACTGATCTGAAAGCGGAAATATTTTTTTTTTTTAGATTAGTGGATAGAAATTGATACTTACTTAATTATCTGTTAAACAATCACTAACTTCTCTCCAAATTTGAGCCAGATGTATCAAGAAAAACGCGTTTGCTCATGTATAAAAGAAAGTAGATGACAGAATTCAATAAAATAGATACAGAATCATTATTTTACCAAACCCCACCTTTATTTCAACTTTAAGCGAAATCGAACAAACCGTTCCTGAAATATTGGCATATTTATGAAAACACATCTACGCGTGCAAAAGCGGAAGTGCTGGATGGAATTTGATAAAATTTGTATGAGACCATCTAGGCACCCATCCACATAATCCCTGAAAATTTCATGAAAATCGGATGAATGGTACTAGGTGATATGCCCGTCACATAGATTTATATTGATATATAAAATATCCATATTTTTTCCAACATTCATAATTAGTTGTAGGTTGAGTTAGCAGAAAAGAGGAAATGGTACGCAGTAACATAAAAGTTTAGGAAGTCATTGGTAGTGTGTAACAGGTCAGAGGAACTGTGACATATTGCAGTTCCTGTTACACATTCGTCACTCATGTGGACTCACATTTTTGGAACGAAGCTTCGATTTATAATAAAAACTTAATTAATTTTTTATAATTTTAGTTAATCCATCTAAAAAATAAAATCATTATACATCACTTAATTAAGTAATAATCTTCTTTAATTTAATAAAATAATAGTATTTGACGATTGATATGTCGTAGACAGCCGGGTTCCTACAGTTTCCTGGTAGAAAGCCGATATCACAATGGTGTGGCCGCTGCTAGAATTTCGCAAAACGGCTGATAAATATTGAAATGAGCAGTTGCTAAACAGTGGGGGGGGGGACCACGGGGATATTTGACTATTATTTTGACCAGGTTCCACGATCTCCCATTCCACATAGGAATCATGGCAGCTCAGGATCCAGAATGGTTCACAGCCCAACAGAACTTCACCATGTACGGTCAGTATATTAATAATTAATTAATTAATTAACATATCTTCCGAAAAGAAAAACAAAGTGTAAACATATTATTAAAAATAAAATAGTTCACAAAGAATATTGGTCTGTGAACAAAGGACAAAATAATAATGAAACTAAATAACTCAACGTTTCATAAGATGAAGGAATCATTACCCTTTTTTTTTTGTTAATTGTAATCGACCAAGAAAAAGAAAATTATTATAAGAGTTCATTCGTGTTTTTTTTCATACATGAAATTTACGACTGTATAAAAATAAATATTTCTACTAAATGTACAGAGAAATAAAATAGCATGACTTATACAGAATATACCCATTGGTAGCACTATAATAAACTACCTAAATTAGGAGATCACAAAGCCATTTTCTTTTCAAACGGCTCAGAAGGTTATCAGGGATCGAAGAGGAAGCAAGGTTAGAACGTGAGGAGGCCTAACGGTGGAGCAACACAATTTTAAAAATTATACAACTGTTCATTTAATTGTATTAATCGTTGCTCTTCTTGGAGTTCTGGCAATGGCCAGATTCTCCACTCAAGACATGACTAAATCGCTCTCGCTCAAACTCCACTGGCTTCAGCACAAGTGACGCGGTTGAGAGAGTAGCGCAGGGAACTCTTAGAGTCGTGTTTTTCCTTCTATAGTTGGAAGGAAAAGCCTGGCTTTGGGTTCCCTGCCTGATTGTTTTTAATTTACTTATGTTTAGGTTATTTTATTTTTTATTGTACATAGTTTTTTTTTATTATTATTTTACTTTTGTTAATTTTATATTTTCTGTATATATGTTGTGAATGTGTTCATTTATCACTATAATTATTGTCCTCGAGACAGAATATTATATGTCTAAATAAAAAAAAAATAAAAAAAAAAATCGTTGCACAAATTGTATAACTTTAATTTGCATGTATTCTGTAGTTCTGATTGTGTTATTTTTTATCAACATAAAATAAAATGAAAGGAATCACTGACAAATTTTTAATTTCTTAAAAATGTATATTATACATCGCGCATTATTATCAATTTATATTATTATATAAATATAATTATTTTGATTGCCAGTTCGTTACCATAATATATATTCAACATGTCCAGCTTACTATAATCGCAACAATAATTTGAGCCTTTAATTTCTAATATTTTCATTTTTCGCTATATTGTGTTTCTTTTTCTAATTCATAATAATTATAATTAAATCACAATATAATATAAATAATATTATATATAATATAATAATTAATATATTGTAGTCAAGGGATGGATTTCAGCACGTGTCTTTATTCATCGATTAAATCACAGATGGGTAAGCGGTTCCATCGTTTATTGAGAAAGATGGATCCACTGGATATAATCCCATAGTATCAGTTTTGTAAACTTTCAATTTACTTTACATATTTCTATTCAGTTTGGTATTTTTTTTTTCTGTGGGCTTAACTGGTAGTCTGTGGTCTGAACCAAATTAATATTATATAATATTACGGATATTTTTAAATCAAATTATTAATATCTGCCTAAAACTTCATAAATAGTTGCATCTAATCGTAACATACAAATATTTTTTATTAAAAAAAAAAAACGGTTGCCTACATATTGGGGATTGAGGACACGCCAAACGATCTATTATTTTTGTAGGCCACTTATTTCGATGTTATGATGATATTATCTTACGTTCCAAGTGGAAATCAAATGGTATTCATTAGTTTTTAGTACATAATTAAATAGACAAAGTTTTCCGATCTCCGGTTTTATCCGATCTTCGACCCGAGCCCCAATTCTGAGAATTTTCTAAATAAAATATTTTTAGTAATTCGATAAAAATGGGTCTTGTACCACGGAATATTGTATTTCAGAAACGGCCACCAAATCAAACCAAAACGGTTTGATTTGGCTTAAAATTGGAAGAAAGTTGGGAATTGGTAAAAAAACATGATGGGTCAATTTTATTGAATTCCATCCACAACTTTCTCTTACAAATGAACAGATAGAGAAAGATAAAGAGCTTTAACAATATAAACAAACATATATATATATGACAAGATTATAATAAAAACACAAAATTACCTTTCTTTCATATTCTATTTTGGTGAATAATTTATTAAATAGTATTTTTATTGAATAGTAATATATGAGTCGTTTATTTAAAAAGTAAACTCTAATCATTATTGACAATTTTTCAGGAAATGCGAAAAAAACTATATTTTCTATTCAAATTGTAATATCAAAACCGATATTTTTCAAATAGAAAATTATAAAATATTTATTTGTAGGACATATTTTCGAAAATTTCCAATAATTAGTAATTAAAATAACAGTGAAACTTGACTAGGATATTTTTGGAAAGAATTAAATTTTAAATTGTCGAACAAAAAAAAAAAGTTGATTGGGGTTTGATTTAGAGAGAAAAATAGTGTATGATTCAGGGAGTTCAATTTTTGGTTCACAATAATGGTAAAAAAAAATTGTTTATTTTGTTAAAGGAATCATTACATTTCTTGAAAAAAAAAACAGGTTTTGGAAATATATTTTAACACCTATTTAGGTTAGTTTTTGAAAAAAAAAACTTTACCATTCGATTCATTGGGCGTTTTTACATGGGAATCTATACTCGATTTCCATAAAAATCGATTAGTATCAACTTTGGAAATTAGTGACTCGTATAGAATGAGGTTGGATTTTAGAACTAAATTTAATATTGAGGGGGCCCCAGAATAATTCATCCTTAGGTTCATCTATACGGCTCTGCCTGGGACAGAAATATTAAAACATATTTTTCGCTATGTTCTTTTGATGTTTGTTTTGGACACAGTTTACAAGGTATTTAAAATGTATGTAAGTACCTTAGAATGTTGTTGAACAGAGAAGTAGTACTATTTTCTGTCTTATCAACAACTGCGTCCTTGATATGGCCTAGTAGCTTGATATATCAACGATTTAGGTGGCCTAGGCAGATAGTGAAGGCCAGTATGAGGTCAGCTGATTAAATTTTAAAAATAAAATAGCACTTTTAAGTCCTCTGTTCTTCGTTATTTCGTGAGTTTTTAATCTTTTTCTGTTTACGTGTTCGGCAACAATTTTTTTCCTTTATTATATTATTGTTTCATATCGTCAATAATAATACATTAATATTGTATTTAAAAGATAAAACTTCTTTATAAAAAATAAAATTCTTAAAGCATCATAATTCGCAAGGAGTGTTTAAAGGCGAGCCTATGATCACATAACTAGTGATAAGATGTTGAATACAGGATTAGGAAATGCGTATTTATTTTTTTTTTTTGTTATTAATGATATTAGTAATTGTATTAAAAATAAAAATACAGTCAATAAATGTGAATAAAGGATAATAATGCCACGAAAAAACTTATCTAGAAAATTGTCAATCAATGATAGCACTCCAAAAATTTATTTACATCAGAAGATCACGAGACCATCTTCTTTTCAAATTCCTGAGATGGTTATCAGAGATCGAAAAGGAATATGAGCTTAGAAATGAGAGGATTTGGATGGTTCTGAAGTTTATTATGGAAGGATAGATATCTAGATTGGACCAAATCCGAAACATATGGTACATTAAGATCATTATGGATGATTTTATTTGTGACATAGTAAGGAGCGTTGAGGATTTTGGATTGAAAGGATACGAGAGGAATTTGATAATTTAGTGGAGTCCCAAAGCTCAACTTTAGTCTAAATAAGTCTTATTATTCTCACCTATATGAGTCTTTTGTAATTAATTTGAAGCTTAGAGTGTTTTTTAAGTAAGTATTGGAGTTGTTGGAAACGTCGAACGGTTAATAAATCACAACTTAATAGATACAGACTTAAAGCTTATTAATATTTTATTCTATTCTATTATGTATATATATATATATATATATATATATATATATATATATATATATATATATATTATTTTTCTGTTTAATCTACTTTTATTTATTGTACATTGAGTGTGAATGTGATCTCTGGACACTATTATAAATGTCCTTTGAGACAGATTGTAATATTTGTCAATAAACAAGATCTTAAAAAAAAATAAAATAAAAATCTTCTTGAACGTGGAAGTTTTTCTAAAAGTGGATGGTAGTATAGTTAGTTATAGTGGTGGAGTATAGTTGGATGGTAATAAAATCGCGAATAGTTCATCATTTTTTTTTTTTTTTAACAGGATTCAGCTTAGTTTAAAAATGAAAAGCTCTATTTTATTTTAAAGTAAATTTTGTCTGGTTTACATTCAAGCAATTGATAATTAGTTATATTAAATGTTTCCTTAATTATCGCTTCTTATTAAAAAAAAGCAAGGTTTACTTAAAAAATATAAAACTTGAAATTCCTACTATTCTATATTGTTCATTTTGTCTTCTTCGTAATGGGCTACTATTCAAAATTATATCTTAACCCAACACCGTATTAGAGAGTATGGTAGCGAGTTTGAGGTGGAGACTGTAAACGAGGGAAATGTTCAGCATTTGTTTATAATTTAATATTAATAATCTTGCCTCGTTGCTGTTTTCACTTGCATCGAGTGGCCTAAACCTTAATTTGTTTTTATTAAAATGTCTGTATTTTTGGTTTACAAGTACGGTATCTTTATTTCAAGGTTCCGAACGATTTTCATACCGTTAAAAAAAAAAAAAAACTACAGAATCATTCCTCAATAAATGAAAGTTTTCAAACGTCAATTGGAAATTTGGAAATTTGAAATACAAATATGTTACGTAAGAGTCCGTTGTTTTCTTACGTATGCTCATTTGAATACAATAGATGGTGTACTGTCTGCATGCTGTAATAGCCGAATTAACCAAACGGAAAATCCATTAATCGATCTACCAATACTTTCCTTGATTAGGAAATTTTAAGTTTTCTAGTTCAAATTTTATTTATTTATTTGTATTTTTTTGTTGCCTCTACCCTATAGGATTATTGCAACACCTTTTAATTACACACTCTTAGGAAGTATTATACTATTTAAAAATTCCCAAATTTTTTAAGTGAAAAATAGCTTAGGTACGTTTTGCACTTTTCTTAGGGAGAGTGGACGAAACTGAACCGTCATGTTCAGATGTGTAACGCTTATTCGGGTGAAATCGGCTCGAGTTGACTAATTAAATTGTTTTTGTATATGTATTAAAATATATCAGTAAGTAAAAAATCTGTCCTGCATACTGTAAGCAAGGGAAATGTTCAGCATTTCATCTTCTTTGTAATGAGCTATTATTCAAAATTGTATATTAACTCGATGCCGCACAGTGTTCGAAAAAGACATAAAAACGACAAAAACTCTGGGAAACATTCAATTAAGGCAAGATATTTGAAAAACTGAATTTACTATAGCATTTTGGGCATTCTGAATTAATATAAAATAATTTTTTTTTGGTAAGACCAACCGTTATTATTATTGTTAATTTTTTTCAATTATAAATAAAATATATTTTGCATGTAATATGTTGTATAAGTGAAAATTTATTATATAAGGTTATTGGCAAAATCAATTATAAATATCTATTACCTATATTACTACCAAGAGGACATAATGGTAAGAGAAGAAGAGCAAATCAAGCTACAACTAATTGAAGACAAAACCGAATACATGGGGTGGTGAGCTGAAAAAATTACCTCAGTATCAATGATGAGTCACGAAATTGTTTAAATTAATCTTTAAGATTTTCCTTGGCATTTTCTTTCAGTTTTTTTTTTTTGTTTCTATACTTTTCCTCCAGTTTTCTATGACGGAAATGAGTAAATTATATTAAGTATAAATTTATTTAGACACAGGTAGGAATTTTTTCTTGCTCGTTTTCGGTATAACTTTCTTGACTGAATTATCCAGATAATTACCAAAATCTCAAATTATCGCAGCTGATTTTTGTACTCATCATTAGCAGAGGGTTCAAAGAACATTTGATTACAGTAAGACCTAGGCGGTCGTTGGCGCGAGGTAATCTCCGATGTAAAAAGGAAATTACAGGATCTGTTAAATGACAACTATTGTGGCAAAAACAGACTTTTTATTTATATTTTATTGAATATCTTTGAAAATGGTGTTTTTATTCGTGCCTAAACTTTAGGAATATATGAGTTAACTATGTCAGACAATAAAAATATAGATATTTGAATTATTATAACACCTTGAAAATAGATGTTTTTGTCACTCTCAAACCACTGTGCGCTGTGTTAACAGAGACTATAGGTGAAAAATAGTTTAGAAAACTTACTGACAACGAGTTTTATTGAAGATATGGATCAAAATATCTCAAAAAACTGAATTTTGGACCTACATACTGAAAGCAAGGGAAATGTTCATTCATTTCATCTTCTTTATAATGAACTAGCTTTACCCGGCCACGTGCTGCTGTGGCTTAGCCTGGCAAAATGAAAAAGAAAGAAAATAGAAAGCACATATGAGTAGATTAATAGCAAAGGACATCTATCATTTTTAAAAAGTTGGGAAACAAATCTGTCTGTAAAATGGCTTCAATTTAAACTAATTCCAATTGTTTTTTTTTTCTTATGATTCAAATTAAACATTCATCTGAGTAAATACACTGTCATTCATAATCATCAGAAACAGTTTGAGTTGAACTTATAAAACTAAATTAAAAAAACTTATAATAGTATTGACCTACATAAGGAGAATCATAAAAATTCTTCAAATGATAATTTCAATTACTGTAGTAATTATAAAATTTTCGATTAATCTATAAAAAAAAAATAAAAAAATGCTTGCCGACGTTCGATAGTGAGAAAGCAAAAGGAAACGCCCTTTTCTGAACAGAAATCAGTAAATGTTTAAAACTCAATAACTCTGCAACAAACCGTCCGATTTCAATGATTTTTTTTCAGCAATTCTTTCATATAAATACGGGTATTATCAGTCAAAAATTGTGTACTTTTTTAGTTATCGGCAAATAGAATATTGAATTCATCGTAACATTTTTCAGCGTTTTTTTGTGAAAGTATGTTATACACATAAATTAAAAGGGTTTCAAGGGGAAGAGTTTAGCCAAGTTTCGTTAAAATCGGTAAAGCCATTTTGGCGCTACAGTTTATAGCGACACATTTTTTGCGGCTTTAAACAGAAAAACATTTACATTTTTATTTTTTTACATATATTAAATTATCGTAAGACAGAAATACTATGCCAGAAACCTTCCCTGGAGTGTACGGAACAACTTCCCAAAGTTTCATGGCGATCGGTTGAATGGTTTAGTAATGAACTGAGGACAAACAGACGGACAGACAGACATACATTCATTTTTATATATATAGACTATTATTCAAAATTGTATCTTAACGCGACGACTTACGACGAAAGTCAATGAATGCATGTATATATTTTTTCAATTGGCCATGAAACTAAGAAATAAAAAATTATCTGTTTCAATTCAATTTTCTGTTGCATTCGATAAAGTTTCGATAAATTACTGAACCCCGTTATAGAAGTTGAACAAAAATTAGTTTATACACACAAATAATTATATAAATTGTAAATGTTATTACTTTATGAATATGAAAGAAAAGATTAGGATTGGGGAAAAAATGATAAAAGAAAAAGTTTCAAACTCTTCTTTAATAATTAATAAATTTTTTATTCATTTAAAAACATTTAATGTTTTCTTCTAATATATATACATTATATATATTTACTATAAGGACTGTATTTTAGTTTCTTTATACATTTAGTTTCTGTAGTTTTTTTACTAGGTTTTTCCTAATGTATAAAATGATACATAAACCGATTTCGATCTAATTGTAGGTGATGTTTTACTATAGAAATGTCAAATTTCGATTTTAAAATAATATAAAAAACATTAGTTTTAGGCAAACATTTTTTTACTAATCATTCAATTTTTTTAACAACTGTTACTCCTGACTAAGTCTGGATGAGAAGGCAATATTTTATTTGTCAATATAACATGGCTTCTAGACTTTTGCTCCGCTAAATTCGCAATCGGCAACAATGTGCCTCTGGTAGATTTCTGCAGCGGTGCCCAGAAGTGGGTTTCAAAATTTATGAGGGGGGCACTTTTTGACGGGGTTTTCAATTTTTGAGGGGGGCACATTCTGACGGGGTTATGATTTTTCAAAATGAAAAGTTTCAAATTAAAAGATAAGTGGAAGCATGGAATAGACCACAGTATGAGTAATTGCATATAACATATGAATATTTAAATTCTACTTTCGTTTGCACTGTTTTTAACAAGAAGAGGGGAATAAAATATCTTGGGAGGGGTTGGAGAAGGTTTATGATCGGCCTTGGAGGGTTGGGGGGGATGGTCACTCCTGGATTTCTTATCCATCGATAAGCTCAGCGCTGAATTTAGGTACTTGCCCTATTCTCCAACAATAATTTTATAATTGTATTCTCCAGATAATTCTATAAATGAAATTGTTTTGCAGAGCCGGGTATCGAAGAAGAGATACCAGAAGTGTTCAAAACGTACCACCACATCCCCGTGCTGCTGGTAGCTTACCTCGCTGTGGTGAAGCATTATGGACCCAGGTTGATGAAGGACAGGAAGCCGTTCAGCCTCAAGAATGTGAGGATGATATACAACCTCATACAGATCGTCATCAACTGGTACATATGTACCCTGGTGAGTTCTAGCTAATTGGTCATATATAATTAGAATCAATTCTTTAGATTGGGTATATTTTTGACTGATATTTTGAAATAATGAGGAAAAAAAAATAATCAGTTTTGCAGTGTAGTTATGTTTAATTAGGACCCAAATATATGGGTCCATTAGGCTAAAAATAAAAAAATATTTTAAATAAAGAAATATAAGATATAGCAGTATAACCCAGTCAAATTGAACATGTTGCAAAAGGTCGGCTAATTAAATTTTATTTTTATATTGTTAGGTACGCAGTGAATATAAAAATGCAAGTTTTCTCCATTGAAAGGCTTGTGAGTTTGCTGTAACGCTCCAAAAACCATTGAAATTTTGAACTTTTTTTGGTTTACTCTAAATATCTCCTTTTAAAAGATATATAGATAAAAAATGGTTATATTAAATATTAAACATCTTAAAATTATCTAAAATTTTTGTACACAACATTTTTTTCTATACCCAACAGAAAGTGAACTGTCGAGCTTTCAAAATGGCAAAAGTTAAAAAAAAAAAAAAATTAAAAACCTGACAATTCGATTATTGTATTAATATTTCTTTATTAATACAATAAAATATTAATACAATCATTATAGCACTATAACTACACCTATGCCAGTGTCGCTTTTCTGCCGATTAAGTGTATTTTCTAAATAACTACTTCGAGTATTTTAGAAAGTAATCAGTGTTTTAGAAAGAAAAATTTATTATCCAGACGTATTTCGTTATTGTTGGCCGTTTATTTACAAAAGACGCGTGATTATCAACTTTAATTTGAAAGAATTGAAAAACTTAATTTTACTGATGTTATTTATTACCAAGTCCGATTATTTTTTAATATTTTATTATTATGTTAAATGACGAAATTAAGCCAAATGCCGAATCGAAGTGACCGAAAAACTAACTCAAGTCAAAGACGTCATGTTTGAACATCATTTTGGGTCAGTACGCCAACTTTTTTTATAGGAACATTGTTTTTTGTTTTTTTAAATAGTTACAAGAAACACAACTATATGCAATTTTGAAGTGTTTGAGAGAGAAGCGCAGAGATCTCCTAAATCTCGCTTTTCACTCCACAAGTCGGGGGAAAAAGTCTGGTTTGAAATTCCTCTGGCTAATTATAAATAGTGTATATATCTATGCCAGTGTCTAAGATGTTAATTTTTTTAAGATCATTTTATTTTAATTTCATTATTATTATTTTCTTCTCCCATATGTGTCCTTCATTGAGACAAATTGTAATATTTATCAATAAACAAGTGGGAAAAATTTAAACACCATTTTGAATTCCTCTATGCCAGACAAATGTTCATAATTATTAAATCTTCGGGATCCTCAGGCGTTCAAATGTTTCATTCTAGTACACCGAGTTGAAGTGGCTTTATCCTACTTCCCGAAGACAATTCCTCCTTGGTGTTTTCCTTTTCCAAGTCTTCAGAACCCAAAACCCTCCCTACATCCTGGAACTCCTCACTCTACGTTCCTCTATCCATTCTCTCAATATCAGGTATCAACCTATAGATTTATATATCCCTTTCATAAAACTACTTCTTTCAGTAAATCCTTCGTCATTCTTGCTACCTCCTTTTGGAACTCTCTTCCTACCTTCATGCGTCAATCCTCGTCCACAAATTCCTTCAAACAACTCCTGTTCCAACACCTACTCCACATTCAAACTTCCGCTAACAAATACAATTACTTGTATCTCTATACTGTTTAATTTCAATTTACTGCACAATTACAATAACAATAAGCAGTAACTCTGTTATTATTCTTAGGGGGCTATGAATGAATGGATGAATGAAAATTCTGTATTTTTTAATTAATATATACAAATACAGGAGGTATGGCTCCATTAAATACATTATTACATAAAAAAATACATAAAATAAAGTACTATACAAATATAGAAATAAATCGGAGAAATGTTCTTTTTTCATAAATAAGATAAACTAGATATATAAATTGCGATGTAAAAAAAAAAAAAAACAGAAAAGGAAAAACAACTGTATAACAATATAAATAAAAAATATTAAATTTGTAGATATATAAAAAAAATTAAATAAATATGCATTAAAGGAATTTTAAAAATAGCAGTAATATATTCATATACTTAGTCGAAGATAACAATGTCTTTTAGTAACCATAAATATTGCTGGCGTGTCATTCATTCATAATGATCTTATTTTAAGGCTCCCTACTGTAAAATAAAATATATTATTTAACTTTTCTATCTTTAACAAATTACCGAGCATTGAATTGTTTTCTTCTGTAATATATTTCTCTATGTAATGTTCCCTCAAGTCTTTATACATCGGACATTATATTAAAAAATGACATACATTTTCTGGCTTTTGGAGGTTGTATATAGTACAGTTTTCTTCTTCTCCTAGTGTATAGGCCGTTCCATTGAGATAAAATGAAAGTTTCGTTAAATTGGCTACCCTAAGTTGGCTGACTGTTCTATGTTTGGTTATATTTGTTCATATGTTTAAATATTGTTCTTAGGAGACTATAGTCCCAGAATAAATTAATTTTTTATTTATTCATACATAAGTCAGGATAAAGACATGGAAAGTTAAGATAAATTTGAAAAATATCTGATCCGTTAACAACCTGATCTGTTAATAATTTAATCTAGCAATTATTAGGTCTTAAATAATTTAAATCTAATCCAAATTAGGTATTTAGTCTTTATTATTATCAAGAAATAAAGGTCTCAAATTTTGTTTCAGTGCTTCAGCCTGGTCGGCAATGGGATATCTGACCCCTGGGGAAACGGTTGCTATCCTGTGACGTCTGTTACTAGGGACCCCAACGCATACAAGATGGTAAGTATTGTTTAACTTATCAATAACAATCAAGTTGAGATCATGATGGCCGTGTCAGAGCATTCTTCGTTGTACATTCTCGAGCCTAGCGGCGCTAGATTGAATCCGGCCTGGATGAGTTGAAATTTATTTCGCATGGCGGACTTCAAGAACAATAATAAAATATTTAGTTAAAACAAAGATAGGTTGTTTCTTCATTAAAGTTAATACCTAATTCATCGGATATTTACATCTTTGACTCAAAGACGGTGTAAGAACACGAAGGATAAAATTATTATTAAAAATAATAATAATTTAAAATAGACTTATTTAAAATAGACTTCGATGATTTTTTTTTTCATTGGAAATTTAAAAAAGCTTTCAAATTACCGGCGATTTAATCAGCTATATACTGTATTATTAAATTTTATTTTTTTTTAATTTCTTTATTGAGTATTATAACAATCTGTCTGTTGGACATTGGTTATAGTGAGGTAGGATGACATTCACACTTTATGTACAAAAAAAATAAAATAAATAGAACAAAATAATAATCAAAAGTATATACAATAGACAATAAAATAAAATAACCTAAAAAATAAGAAAATTAAAACTAAGAAAAAAAACACATGCATACCTATATACAATCAGGCGAGGGAACTCCAGGAGAACCCTGCGCTACTCTCCCAACCGCATCACTGGTACTAAAGCCAGCGGAGATTGGTCGAGAGCACTTTAGCCACATACACACATGTCTTGAGTGAAGAATCTGGCCATTGCCAGAACTCCAATTTATACAATCTACAAAAGGTCGCGAGGCCACTGCCGTTTCAACCTTATTTATTATTAAAATTACAGTTTTTTTTTATTCCTGAAATTTACAAATGTATACAAATAAATATATATCCAGTAAATGTGATACAGAAGAAAACAATGGCATGAAAAGCCTTGCAGAAAAATTATTATATTAGTAATAGGCAATTTTCAACTCATTAATAGATTTTAAGTTTAATACACCAAAAATAGAGAGCAAATACGATTAGATTTGAAGCTTGAACACTTATGAAGGTTATGCCTGAACATCACGTGGTATCATCATCCCCAAATTGCTTGATTTTTTAAATAAAACTAAACAGAGTTTTGTTTCAAAGAGGTTTGCTCATTGCTTTTCTTTATGAGATAAGTTTGAAGTTTTCATTTAATCATCTGTGATTCGCTATTTGTTAGTTTAAAACTGTGAAGAATTTATTTTATATTTTTTAATTATATAAAAAAACCGATTGACCTGTGAGTGTCTATTACTGGTACAAAATTCTCTGACAGGATCCCTTAAGCTTTCCATGAATAATTAACTAAATGAGTGTACAGAAAAAAATGTGATAAAAGACTAAATTTGGTTTTAATTAAACCCATTTGCAAAGATCTACGGTCAGAACTGAAGTTGTGGTTCACATATATGTTGAAAATTTCTCTTAAAGTGTCTATATATATTTACGGTATATTTACGTTATTAAAATTTCTAAATTAGGAGAAATTACGATCTTCTTTTCAGACACCTCGGAGGGTTAAGCAGGGGACGTAGAGAAATCAAAGTTAGAACTAGAGGATTCGGATTGTTCCGAAGTTTATTATGAATGGATAGATATCTGGATCAGAGAAAATCGGAAACAAGTGGTTCATTAAGGTCGTTTACGGATTATAATATTTGTAAGGAATGGGTACGAGAGGTATTTGATGGTTTAGTGGAGCTCCAAAGCTCAACTTCGTAAGTCCAAATAGGCCTTATTACAGTCATATATTAGTCCGTGATATAAACTCCTTTTTATCAAATTATTAACATCCTTCGTAAATAGCTTCATCTCACTGTAATCTACAAATATTTTATTTACGAAAATTCTCGGAATTGGAGAACTTTTTCAATCTGAAAATCGGCAAACTTTCTCTGTTTAATTAGGTACTGGGAACTCGTAAATACTCATTTGATTTCTACTTGGATCGTAAGATAAATTTATCACAAAATCGATAAAAAAGGCGGCCGACAAAAATATTGGGCCGTTTGCCTATATAACCTCGTTATTTTGACAACTTCTACAACAATTTCAAAATTCAATATTGAATAAAATAGTCCGTTCCACATCACTGAAGAAAATGAAGATGGAAAAACTACACGAATTCTTTGAACTTACCACAGTTCCAGAATTCATTAGACGTAGGCACATCAAATTCTTCGACTCACTTCAACTGACTACCAACCCCCTCTTCAAGACATTAACCCCAGCACCAGCCTCTGTTAGATGGCAGCAAGCGGTATCCGAAATAGATTAGAATAGATTAGTTTTAAGAAATAGATTTAGAAAGTAATATTAAGCGAAAACCAAATCAAAAAGTTAAAGCACGCCCCAGTGCTCAGAAATAACATTAAAAATAAAATAAACTAATAAGAATATATAAATCAAAAACTCCTTAAAATGTAGTCTTACTACAGTAAAAGGAGAAACGTCAGAAAATTAAAAGAGCAAAACTTTCAAATAGGGGTTTGGAAAAAAACAAAAAAAAAAAATATTTTTGAATATTTTTGAAGGCCAACCTTTTTTCTTAACTTTGTGCTCAAATCATCTAACGATTCAACAAGAAAGCAAATGGGTATTTACGAGTTTGTAGTACCTAATTAAATAGATAAAGTTTGCCGATCCTATGAAGCTATTTACGAAGTTTCAGACGGATGTTAATAATTTGATAAAAAGGGGTTTGTACAACAGACTATATATGAATCTTTTGTAATTAATTGGAAGCTTACAGCGTTCCTTTAGTAAGTGCTAGAGTAGTCGAAAACGAGTGGTTTCTTGTCGTTTCAGTATGGTATAATAATTCCAAGTTTGTTCAGGTGAAGTCCTAGATATGACCAACCGTCTTCAAATTCAAAATTGAACTCTACTTAATCAATTTCCCTAATTATACATGGTAAAATGGGCTATCAGGCCGATTCGGAATATAATCAGACATAAGTGGAGGGGTCGAATAATTTAAATAAATATTATTTTTGTTTTTGCATGGTTTATTATTTATTATTGTTACTTTATTTTTTAAATGGAAATTAATATCACACGGAATTTAATTTTAGTCTCCAACTCATGTTATCGATCATGATTTAAACTTACATTTTTATTAATAACATTCTATTTGCTCATTAATATTTTTATATTTTCAGATTGTAAAAATCTCATATTACTACTACCTCAACAAAATATTAGACTTCATCGAAACGGTAAATTCATTTATACATATATATCTTTATGCTCATGAAATTATATATTTGATTACTTGATCATACATGATTATAATTATAATTTTAAATAAAATATATTTAATTTTTGTTTTGTTAACAGGTATTTTTCGTCCTAAGAAAGAAGCAGTCTCAAGTTTCATTCCTCCATATATACCACCATGTAATCATGGTTTTGAGTATTTGGCTTTCTATTTTCATCATTAGAGGTGAGAATTTTAGTTATTTTAATTAGTGTAGTCATTTTAATTAGTGTAGTGATTATAATTGGTTTAATTTAGTTTATATAAATTTACTTTTAGTATAATTATTTCTCTGTTTATTTATTTTTATTGCTTCCTCACTACCGAAGGTAGGGAAGTATTGTATTCGAGCGAGAGGTTAAAAAAAAAATTATGTGCTAAACTAAATAATTAAAATTGCTCAGAATCGAAAATTTCCACTCGCGTTTTACTTTCAGACGTCAAGGATCAAATTTGGTTCGGTTTCTTCTGTCTGTCTGTAGTCAAATCGATCACCTACTACCGTTTGTCCGATTCTCATGAAATTTTCAGGAATTGTGCATGTTGTTGTCTAGATAGCCCCATTTCAATTTACTAAATTCTAACCAGCACTTCGCAGAATTGAATTGAAAAAAATAATCTTAAGAATCAAAGTTAAATAAAAATATATAACTTTATTTCAACCGATTGAAGAGTAAGCTCAAAATAAAAATAAATTAAGTCGACGTTTCTACGTATCATGGATGATAAATATTCAGGACGCAGTCAATATAAGGTTTTTATTAGTGCTGACGTTTGAACCTAAACACGTGGGTCATTATCAGGGCGTGGTTGGAGCACTGAAGGTATTCAAGTACTCAAATATCTTCAGTACAGTACTTGAATACCTTCAGTGCTCGAACCACACCCTGATGACCCACATAGCCCTGGAGCCAGGGCCCAAAAATCGACCTGATCGCAGGCGAAGGTTTGATTGTAAATTACGAAAGTGTATGTTATTCTGAGTAAAAAAAACCTCGTCTGCTTTTCCAGAACCGCTGTTATCAAAAATGGCGGCTGATTTAAAGAATATTAGGCCAGTGATTTGAGGATCGAAACGGGAAATCGATTGCGAAAAATGTGAGAAAAGTTTTGATTTTTTAAACTTGCATATGTGGGTTTAGACATGTAAAAAACAAAATTTCTAACGCGGGCCACCAAGGGAAAACTTTTTACAGCCAAACAAAACAGATTTTTTCGATATTGTTTGGGTTTTTCACCTTCCTAAACAATGAATCGAAACGAAAAATGTGTTCTTTAATAAATTAAAGAAGGTTAAATTTTGCGTCAAACGAGTACATAAACTTTAAAATTTGATTACTCGGTAAGGTATAAAACCACCGTCAACAAACGCTGAACTTTACCAAATTTATCAAAAACTGAGACAAATTACTATAAATGGCCATGTAACTTGGAAATGAGTTCCCTAAGAGGAAAAACTAATAGAATCAAAGTTGTAGAGCATCAAATTTTGCGTATATTGCGTACCAACTAATTTAATGCAAGTCACTGGTTGCGAAAAAAATTGGTAATCTCTCGATCGTTAGAAATTGGTAATGAAGATAAACGTGATTTTCAATATTTCAACAGTATAGATGTCTATTATACTGAGTTATTTTTGTTTAGAAACCTGTTAAATGCAATATAAGCCTCTTTCCACCTCTCAGTAGCAAAGGGTTTTGGTAAACGATGTATCGAAATATAACGAATTTTATAGAGGACTAACGAATCCCAATTCGAGATATATAATTGGCCTACAATAAAAATGTCAGCACTCACTGAACGCAAAATTTGATGCTCTACAACTTTGATTCTATGGGTTTTTCCTCTTAGGAAACTCATTTCCAGGTTACAGGGCCATTTATAGTAATTTGTCTCAGTTTTTGTCAAATTTGGTAAAGTTCAGCGTTGGTTGACCGTGGTTTTATACCTTGCCGCGTAACCAAATTTTAAAGTTTATGTACTCATTCGACGCAAAATTTAACGCTCTTTAATTTATTAAAGAATACATTTTTCGCTTTGATGCATTGTTTAGGAGTTATAGGTCAATAACCCCAAAAATATCGAAAAAATCTGCCTTTTTTGGCTGTAAAAAGTTTTCTCTTGGTGGCCCGCGTTAGCAATTTTGTTTTTTAACATGTTTAAACCCATATATGCAAGGTAAAAAAATAAAAACTTCTCTCACATTTTTCGCAATGGATTTCCCGTTTCGATCCTCAAATCACTGGCCTAATATTCTTTAAATCAGCCGCCATTTTTTAAAGCAGCGGCTCTGGAACGGCAGACAAGGTTCTTTTCACTCAGAATAACACACACTTTCGTAATTTACAATCAATCTTCGCCTGCGGTCAGGTCGATTTTTGGGCCCTGGCTCCAGGGCTAACATGTTTTGGTTGGAACGTCGGCACTAATAAAAACCTTATAATGACTGCGTCCTGAATATTTATCACCCAAAGTAAATTAAGCTTTCGTTTTTAATTTGAAAAATATTTGCAATAAAATAAAATAGAAGTATTGATAAAATCCGTGCAAATTATGTTGATGGTTAATACTAAGCCTTAGGTGTGCTAAATTAAATTGCACATTCGACTTTATCATGGTCTAGGTTCTTTGAAACTTTTTTTTTTTTTATTTATTGATGATATTTACAACTGTATTACAAGTAAAAATACATTCAGTAAATGTGAACAAAAGAATATAATAGCATGAAATCATTTGTTGAGAAACTACCCACTGGTAGCACTCTAAAAATGTATTTACAAAAGGAGATCTCGAGGACATCTTCTTTTCAGACGCCTCGGAGGGTTGTCAGGGATCGAAAAGGAAGCAAGGTTAGAAACGAGAGGGTTAGGATGGTTGTGAAGTTTGTTATGGAAGGAAAGGTATCTGGATTGGGCCAGGTCAGAAACATACGGAACATTAAGGTCGTTATGGATGATTTTGTTTGTGACAAAGTAGAGAGCATTGAGGATTTTACGAAGGATTTTGGATTGTAAGGATTGGATACGAGAGGAATTCGATGGCTTAGTGGAGCCCCAGAGCTCAATTCCGTAAGTCCAAATAGGCCTTATTGTAGTCATGTATATGAGTCTTTTGTAATTGACTGGGAGCTTAGAGCGTTTGTCTAGTAAGCACTGGAGTAGTCGGAAACGTCGAGCTTTTTCTTGTCGTTTCAGTCTGTTATGAGGATTCCAAGTTAGACGTTTGTCTAAGTGGAGTCCAAGGTATCGAATTTGTTCAACAGGGATAAGTGGGTTATTATTAAAGGATACTGTAGGAAAAGAGGATATAGGTTTACGACGAAGGGTAAAGGTGATTTGATGGGATTTATTGGAATTTATTTTGATCCTCCAGTTTTGAAACCATTCTTCAAGGCTTGTGATGTGTGATTGAAGGGTTTGGGATGCAATTCTTGGGTCGTTATTAATTGCTAGGACATATGTATCATCCTTTGAAACTTTAAGTTAATGTTTGATGTTGCAGAAGAGAACATTGTGCAAATAGCAGCGATAAACACTTTGGTACACGTGGTGATGTACGTGTACTATTTCCTGTCCGGCCTGGGACCAGCCATTCAGAAGTACCTCTGGTGGAAGAGGTACATTACGAGGATGCAATTGGTAACTATAATTATATTGATTATAATTAATTATTATTAATTGTAATTTTAATAACCTAATCTATCTAACCAACAAAACCCTACATCATCGCCACCTTAATACCCTCATTTGAACAAGGCCTTATCCAAGTCAAAATCCACCAGAACCTTTTACATCACCATAGCCTCAAGAGCAATAAATCCATATCTAATTCAACCCATTGCTGTTATCCTTCTCTAAGATTAAAACTGCAGTGTTCCCGCGACCTTTTTTAAACACGTATACATTCGTCAAAGAAGTAAATAATAATAATAGTGTGCTTTTTTGGAGAATGAATTTGATTGATCCGTCAAATTTCCGAAGTATTAACGCTCGGGTAAAGTCGGCTACAATCGACCAATTGAAATATTTTTACATATGGATTAAAATATCTTCATTAACTACAAATCGGGCGTGCATACTGAAAGCGAGGAAATTGTTCAGTATTTCATCCTCTCAGTAATAGGCTACAATTCAAAATTGTATCTAAAGCGACGCCCTGTTAGGGAAGCGAAAAGGAAAAAATAGTGTTTATAAACCAAATGATAAGGTCAGTTGAACATATGGATTAAAATATTTCAAATACTAAAAATTGGATTTGTATGCTGTAAGCGAGGGAAATGTTCAGCATTTCATCTTCTTTGTAATGAGCTATTATCTATAATTTATATTTTATATTATTAATCTAGCCGTGTTGATGTTTTCACTTATATCGTGTGGTATAAAGCACACACCTTAGTTTTTTCATCTTACATGAACTTTTTATTGAACATTAAGTTTTTCATTATAATAACTTTTTGATAAAGATATTTTAAAACTTTTAACCAAATAACTTTTTCAATAAAAGTTCGCAACAATCAGTTATTCTTTCCAAAATATATTATATACAAAAAAAAGTAATTTCAGAAAAGCTAAAACTGAAAATTTATTGTTATCATCAAAATATACGCTTGTTTGTGTAAATATTCACTCACTCATTTTCTTTTTTTTTTTTTTTTTGGAAATTATTTGTTTATTGATAAATATTACAATCTGTCTCAATAAAGGACACTTATAATAGAGTTCTGAGAGCACATTCACACCATATTTAACAATTAAAAAAAAAAATAAGCTAACTTCAAATAACATAAAGCTACAAAGAACAAAATAAAATATCATAGCGAGAAAAAAAAAAAGTAATGAAAATAAACATCTTAGATGCAGGCATACATATTTACACTATTTACAGTCGGCCATAGGAACTCCGAACCATACTTATCCCCCCACACGTGGAGGGAAAGCAAGGCTTCAGGAGATCCCTGCGCTTCTTCCTCAACCATTTCACTGGCATTGAAAGCCAGCGGAGATTGAGTAAGGGCGCTATAACCACGGACACTCATGACTTGAGTGGAGAATCTGTCCATTGCCAGAACTCCAATGTTACAAAAGGTCACGGGGCCACTGCCGTTTCTGCCTGCGAGGAGGATTGTAGGGATGAGTGGTGCTAGATAGGGATTGTGCTACGGGATTAGGGTGATGGGTAAGGTTCTGATGAAATTTGGAGAATTTTTCTGGGATAAGATCAAGAATAAATGGAACTCATTTTCTAATATAACAACTTTTATAATCTCGATAGCAAATGAGTTGTTAAACTCACACATTTATTATTAGTTGTCCAAAATTTTGGACGAATCTTGAACTTGTTGAAGAAAAATTTTCATCATAAAAGCTTTTTTTTTTTTTTATTTTTATTGAAATTTACAACTGTATACATGATAAATACAACAAGTAAATATGAAATACGTAACATGACATGTACAACATCAAGAGAAACTACCCATTGCTAGCACTCCAATTATATTTCTATATTAGAAGGTCCCGAGGCCATCTTCTTTTCAAGTACCTCGGAGGGTTATCAGGAATAGAAGAGGAAGTAAGGTTGGAAACAAGATGGTTCAGAAGTTTATTATGGAAGGATAGGTATCCGGATTGAGCTAAATCTGAAACATATGGTGCCTTAAGTTCGTTATGGATTATTTGTGACAAAGTAAGGAGCATTGAGGATTTTACGAAGGATTTTGGATTGTAGGGATTGGATACGAGAGGAATTCGATAGTTTAGTAGAACCTCAAAGCACGATCCCGTAAGTCCAAATAGGCCTTATTATAGTAATATATATGAGTCTTTGTAAATAGTTGGAAGCTTAGAGCGTTTGTCTAGTAAGTCTTGAAGTAGTCGAAAACGTCGGGCGGTTTCAAGTCGTTTCAGTCTGGTATGGGGGTTCATCATAAAAGTATAACAATAACTTTTATTGCTCAGACTTTTTCTTAATAATTTTGCTAAATAATTTTAAAATGAAACTTATTAAAAAAAAAAAAGTTTATGAAGAGAAGAATAGTTGGGGTGGTCAGTCAAAAAGGAAGGCAAAAATAAATGTTAATATTTATTTTTTACATATGCCGACGTTTCGACCTGAAGTTCAGGCCTTCATCAGGGCTAAGAAAATAACCAGATAACAAGGTATGAACATAAGTAATGATGGTAAAAAAGATAATAAAAAATAAAAAAATTAGAAAAAATAAGATAGATAAATATAAAGTAAAATGAAATTGTTAGAATAATGACTAAGAGCTAAGAGATAAATAATAAAAACCGCTACAAAGTGTGGAATGATGAAGTAGGCATAATCCCCCCTTTTTGATTATGCCTACTTCATCATTCCACACTTTGTAACGGTTTTTATTATTTATCTCTTAGCTCTTAGTCATTATTCTAACAATTTCATTTTACTTTATATTTATCTATTTTATTTTTTCTAATTTTTTTTATTTTTTAATATCTTTTTTACTATCATTACTTATGTTTCTCATACCTTGTTATCTGGTTATTTTCTCAGCCCTGATGAAGGCCTGAACTTCAGGTCGAAACGTCGGCATATGTAAAAAATAAATATTAACATTTATTTTTGCCTTCCTGTTTGACTGACCACCCCAACTATTCTTTTCTTCATTATCCACGACAGTCAACCAATTACCAATTATAAAAAAAGTTTATGATTTCTTTGACCCCTGGTTTTAAGTAAAGCAAGAATTTTACGGTTTCCTATCCTGAAATCTATGTGAAAAATATAACATCAGTATGTTTTAATCTCATGTTATTTCAGCCAATTTTTTTTTTTTTTTTGGTATTTCTTTCAATAATACCAAATTATTTTAATTTCAGGTACAATTCCTGATGGGTATGACAACGCTTGTAAAAATGACTGTGACTGGGTGCAGAAATGATACAAGATTTTTGTATTTGTGGTATTTCAATTCTCTAACCCTTTTCGGCCTCTTCGTCCATTTCTACATCAAGACTTACCTTCCTAAAAAGAAGAAGGAATAATTGAAACTTAAAAATAATTATTTTTGTACCAAAGCCATATTATATAAGACTTGTATATACCTCATGTATACCAGTGTTGGGCATAAGAATATTTCAATTAGAATCACTCACTAATTATTACAATTACGAATAGTTGTAATTGTAATTATAATAACATGATAAAGTATTGTAAATTTATTTGTGGTCAACAAACACAATACTGGTCGAGCCAAAGTTTAAAATAGTTTACGTGTTAGTTGTTTTATATCTTAGAGTACACATAATTAATTACCTAACACTGGAATGAACTTATAAATAAATAATTAAATACCTAGCCAATGAAAATAAGAAAATTAAAAAATAAACATGTACATGGAATTGTAAATGTATATTACAATTAATTTATTGTAATTTTGAAAAAAAATACTAATTCAAATATAGTCAAGTTTTGCTCATGTAATAGAAGATGTAATTAATTAATTAATTACTCATATAATTAATTAATTAGCCCTATTCTGGTGGCCAACACTAATTAAAATTCCTTTTAGTAAAATTTCATTTAAAGATTTATTTTTTTAAAATTTAAATTATTCAATTAAATGGCAAACAGTAAAAATAAATATTTGTAAATATATAAAACAATTATTAAATTAAATCAATAAACGATTAAAATTTTACAAAATACCACATTATCCCATAGCAATTTTATTTCGTGAATAAAATATCTTGCTAAAAAGATATAGCAAGATATTTTTATTTTATCTATATTATAACATTTCGGCTTTAATACTATTTTATAAATATTAAAAAAAAAATAACTTTAATAAAAAATCCATTAAAAATTATATAATATACATATGTGGCAGTATAAATAATTTAAATGTTTATTTATTAAAGCTGTTTTTGCGAAAAATAATGAAACAAAAATTAAATGTGAAAAAAAAACAATTAATAACATAAAGTAGCATACTGTATAATGTTTTAATGCTTTTTTTTTTATGAGAGTTGTTTTTTTAAATATTTGAAAATAGAATTAAAGCCAAAATTTTAAAATGTAGATGAAATATATATCTTGTTAAAAAAAAGTTTTTATTGATGAAATAAATTAGTGGGAGTAATGTGATATTTAGAAAAATTCAAACGTTTATTTATTAAATTTTATAATTAAATCAAAGTCTCACTAAAAATGAAAAAAACAAAATACTGTTGTCTATAATAATACCATAATATATATAATACATTATATATAAAACAAATAAATAGGCTATTGAAGTGTTAACTTCAAAACTTGAATTGTAATCCAAATAATTATATTTTCAAATTTTAACTAATATTAAAGTAATTTTAATAATATATATATATATATATATATATATAAATAATTGAAGGAATAAATTAATTTTAATAATCTAATAAATTTTACTAAACAATTAAAACATTTCTTGCAGAAAGTGATACAGTCTGCACAAAATGTATATATATGCCAAGTTTGTACATATATGAATAAAAGTATTGGGTTTAGAAATTGCTTTTTTTTCCTATTTCATTATATCACTTTAATTAAATTATTAAGCTATATTTAATTTTGATTGTTATATAACACGTATGAACGGCCAAATATTGTTATAGGTCACCTTTTCCTTCGATTTTGTGATGAAATTATTTTACAATTCGAAAGCAAATGGATATTTATGAGTTATTAATACCTCATTGCATTAATGAATTTAATTAGAAAACGCCTCATTTCAGAAAATTTTAGCAAATAAAAAATTGTAGATCAGGGGCGTGGTGGCCGAACATGCAAACGTGTGTGCACAGCAACGTGGGTTGCTCGGCAACCTGACATAACCGAAGTTGAAGACAATAAAATTAAGAGTTCGCGTCCCGCTGCGTTGGGGTCTTTTAACTCTGGAATTAAACCCCGCATTCACCTCCTGGTCCGGGAAAACCCCCCTACAGCCTTAAAGAAAAAGATAGAAAAAATTGTACATTAAGATGGAATTATTGAAGTAGTTCAAGGAAACGTTTATAATTTGATAAAAAGGTGTCTGTACCACCGTAACATGTTTAATAAACAGCATGTTTATCAAACGAAAAAAAAAGTGTGTACGTAGTTTTCACTCTTAATCATACTCCTTCCCCCGAAATGTATTTTAATGACATTGAAATTCCTGCATCCGAGGAAATCAAATATTTGGGTTTTTACCTCGACAAAAGACTAACTTGGAGGACACACATTAGACAAAAACGTATGGAATTAAACAGACGATACTTTATTTTATCTAGGTTACTTGACAGACGCTCAAAATTATCTTTGACTAACAAACTAACACTCTATAAAGTTTTACTAAAACCAATTTGGACTTATGGCATAAAACTGTGGGGTTCTGCTAAAACTTCTAATATTAAAAAAATCCTGTCTTTCCAATCCAAAATTTTACGAAGAATAGTTGACGCACCATTTTATGTCACAAACGATAGATTACATAAAGACTTGAACATCCCAACAATTTCAGACACTGCAAAAAAAAACTACAACAACTTTCACCAAAGACTAACTTACAACACAAATCCTCTGACAGAAAACCTTAAAAGCACCAGAAACCCGTACGGCCCACCTCGACGATTACGTAGGCGGTGGCCAAGAGACCTGCTGATCTGAACTATTTCCTGGATTGTAATGGAACGCTGTGAAGCTGCCAAAAAATTTGCTCATTGCAAAGAAATTTGCAGATCGCAAATTTAATTTTTTATGTCCAATTTTATTTTAATAAATAAACAGCAACAGGTAAATGCAAGACTCTTACGAGACTCTTGCTGCAAGGTAGATGTGGTTAAAAAAAGTCTTATATTGGACTTGCATATGGGCAATACTACGCTGAGCTCGGAAGACGCAACTTTCAGCAAGAATTACTAATTTTTAATAAAATTCCCTTATGACTGATATTTCATTCATCGAAATCCATAGCTCCTTCGTGCCAGAAAAATAATCTATACTGTATAGTTTTCTTTTGGCAATATCTTTTGCCGCCTTAAGCCTACTGCATCTCCGCCTATTCTGGGCTATTTGTTTTCATTTTTTTGCACGCATTATTACATATTTTTTTTATTCTTTCTTTCTAGCCATCTACTTTTTGGTCTTCCATGTGGTCATTTTCCTACTATCGAGGCATTCATTGTCGTGTAGAGCTTTCCTAATAGATTGATCCGAGCTACACATGCCTCACCCATCTTAACCTCCTGCTCCTTGTCTTTATATCAATTGATTGAGTTATTTTAGCAACTCTTTATTGCTCTTCCTTCTCCACAAGCAACTATGATCCTGGTCGCTCCGATTATTGTACGTAGGATTTTTCTCTCAAATAATTTTACTTTTCGGTGGTTATATTGTCCAGGTCTCACAGCTATATAGTTAGATAGATAGATAGAATCACTAGCGGATCCAAGATTTAATTTTGAGGGGGGCTTCAGCCCGAAAGTTTATATATATATATATATATATATATATATATATATATATATATAAAACGATAATTACTTGAGAAAAACAGAAAGATATTAACTACCTATATGAAATGGTGTTTAAGTGATTCTTGAAGACCTATAGAATGTAATTAAACGAGCAATAATACTTTAAGACATAATTTTTTACCATAAGACATGGTTATATTTCACCATTTTGCGGGGGGGGGAGGCTTCAGCCCGAAAGCCTCCCCCCCCCGTAAATCCGGCTGTGGATAGAATGTTTATTTTATTTCGCCTCTAGACTTCTGCCATTAGTCTTCTAGTGGCTACCTGGCTGTTCCAGACGCCATTGTTTATAAAAACCGAACGCGATCACACACCACTCCTTCATTAGGATGGCTGAAAACGTTTTGAAGACATCTCCAACCTGTTGTTTTTTACCTGATGAGGCTTAAAGTTCTGTGCCCAACCTCCAATCTGGAGGACCAGGAGCTATGTTATAAAGAAACAGAAGTCGATCACACCTCACTGTGAATCTCAGAGTGGGGATCATTATCCTTACCTATGCGGGACTCGAACCCGTTCCGTAGTGGTCTAAGAAAACGAGCTGGGACTGCACTTATTTATTTTAATTTATTTTTTTTTTTTTTTGGTTTAAATTTAGTGAGTAAATTGAATTTAATTTGCTTGATAACATGTGATTTACGTTAAATATAATTAGTTTTAAAAATTATTATTTGTAATTGTTTTGCCACTCCCCATTATCTTCTACAACTTCCTATTTTTTTTTTTTTCTAAAATTCTCCGCTTTCGAATGATATATTATACGTACACCTTCTGACTAATATCTCTGGAGATACATTTTCGACTTGAATAAGCATTTTTATTTGTTTTTCCTTTATTAAATTATCAATTATTTCAAAAGTTATATTTAGCATTGTTAACGCCGCATAATCTCATACCTTTGTTTTTTTTTTTTTGTATTATATTTTTTCTAACCACTCACTCCTTTTAAGTGTTCATGATGGAAGGTTTATTTATTTTTTTTTTTGGTAATAAACTGAGGGAGAATTGTCTCAAAAGTGTATTTAACTTTATTGTATATATATATTTAGACTTATTTGCGAAGTATTATTGCGTTTGTGTATACGCACCCGGCAGTAATACCGTGTCTTAGGGATTAAGACACAAATAATGCCATAACACTGTCGGGATGCAGTCTTAAGCCAGTCTGGAAGTAACCTTTGTCGAGATAGTAGTGGACGACTACCCCCACCATTCCAGGCTCACTTCACATCACCTGCGCCATTTAAAGATCCCAGCTGTTTCATCGCGAGTCATCGATCAGGATCGATATGCATATCGATCCCCCCACCATCGACTGCTTTGACAGCTGAACTTCAGGTAACTAACCTCTTTGGAAATATAGCCTCCACTTTGTGATATTTTCGTTCACTTCTCTCACCGTTACCACAGACATTTTTCTCTCATTTTTTTATTTATAGTTTTCCGAAGTGGATTTTACTATATACTGTTTCATAATGTTTACTTGTTTCATAATTGGTAATTGGTTGACTGTCGTGGATAATGAAGAGAAGAATAGTTGGGGTGATCAGTCAAAAAGGAAGGCAAAAATAAATGATAATATTTATTTTTTACATATGTAAATGTTCAAAGCCGCAAAAAATGTGTCGCTATAAACTGTAGCGTCAAAAGGGCTTTACCGATATTAACGAAACTTGGATAAAGTTTTCCCCTTGAAACCCTTTTAATTGATGTGTACAAAACAACCTGAAAAATGTTACGATGAATTCAATATTTTATTTGACAATAACTAAAAAAGTACACAATTTTTGACTGATAATACCCATATTTATATGAAAGAATTGCTGAAAAAAAATCATTGAAATCAGACGGTTCGTTGCAGAGTTATAGAGTTTTAAAAATTTACTGGTTTCTCTTTAGAAAGACCGTTTCCTTTTGCCTCCTCTCTACCGAAGGCAGGCAAGCATTTTTTTTTTTTCATTTTTTTTATTATTGATTAATCGAATATTTTATAATTACTATAGGAATTGAAATTATCATTTGAAGAAGTTATATGATACTTCTTATGTAGGTCAATACTATTAGATAGATAGATAGAAAAAAAAACTTTATTCTGGGACTAAGTCCCTTCAGAATAACAATAATGTACAAAATAATAGAATATTACTGGCCTGAACGTTGAAACAATAAATAAAATTGATAAAATAAAATAAAAAGTAAAGAAAACCTTAGGTGCACAAGCTATATACAATACAGATAAAACTATGTACAGAGCATTTAAAATTATGAACAAAACAATTAAAACTATGAACGAATCACTTGAACTATGAACAAAATTATATTTAAGGGTTGAACAACATAAACATACACTTTGAGAAATGAAGAACGAAAAAGAGATACAATGAGTTCATTTCATAAAAAAAAAAACAAAAAAAAACTTTACTTGAATATATATATATATATATAAAAATAAACAGTTAATTATAATTGAATAAAAAAAAAAAAATGTATGTATTGGAATTCCTTAATGCGAAACGAGAAAGGGTTGGACCTGGGAGGGACAACATCCGTGCTGGGCTATGCTGATGATCTGGTACTGTTAAGCGAAGACGTTGAAACTATAAAACTAAATACGACAACGTTAATGAAAGCCGGTAAAGAACTAGAACTCGAAATAAACGTGGATAAAACAAAATATATGGTTAGCTGCAAAAATGGCGATACTGCTGGTGATATCGAATTATCTTGCCTACAGTTCTTTATGGGTGCGAAACTTGGCCGCTTACATTAAGGGATGAGCAGCATCTTAAGGTTTTTGAAAATAAAGTATTGCGTAGAATATTCGGACCGAAGAAGGATGAGTTTACCGGAGAATTCAGACGGTTACACAACGCCGAATCGCGTGAGCTATATGCGGTTAATGTAATTGAGATAATTTCATCGCGGCGAATCAAATGGGCTTGTAAAGTTGTTGGGCTTAGTAACAAGAGAATTCCTAAAAGGTTAATATGTGCGGTGCCGAATGGTAAGCGTCCGAGGGGTAGACCGAAGCGAAGGTGGGAAGATTGCATTAAAGCCGATCTGAAGGGACTGGGTTTGGACGGCGAACGGTGGAGGGAGGTGTGTAATAAGCGATTGGTGGTGTAGGCCTCGAACCTTCGGGTTCGCTAAGCCTTTTATTATTATTATTATTATTATTATTGGAATTCCTACGTCGATAGTAGGAAATGCATGTACTATCTCTTACCAAGCGTTATGATTATATGATTACTACACAATACATATATAATATTAATAGTTATCTGGTATCTGAGTGTTTTTGGAACAGGAATTGGAATAGGAGGTTTTTGAATGTGTACAGGGAAAGGGCATGTCGAATTTTGATCGGGAGGGAATTCCAAAAGTTGACAGAGCGGGCTATAAAGGAATTTTTGAATGAGGCAGATCTATGAGAAGGGATGTATAGGTCAGAGGGTCGGGATCTTGTAGTGAGGGAATGGAGAAGGTTGTAGGCATAACAAGGACGATGATCGGTAATGATTTGATAAAGGAAAGTGCCTAGGAAATATTGTCTTCTTAAGGAGGGGAAGAGCCACCATATTATACGTGTTTTTTATTAATTTTTTAATTTAGTTTTATAAGTTCAACTTAGACTGTTTCTGATGATTATGAATATTTAAATTGAATCCATTTTACAGACAAATTTGTTTCCCAACTTTTTAAAAATGACAGATGTCCTTTGCTATTAATCTACTCATATGTGCTTTCTATTTTCTTTCTTTTCCATTTTGCCAGGCTAAGCCACAGCAGCGCCGGGTAAAGCTAGTATTATATATGGAGTAGCCATTGCAACCAGAAGACCTCCTTAGCGAAGACTCTTGCAGTGACTAGAGGTCTCCGGTTGGCCGCGGCAGAGGTGGAGTTGCGCGGCACGGCAGTGTGTAGCGACTAGTAGAGCGACAAAGCCTGCCGCGGGATGGTGTGGGCCTGGCTAGGGGAAGAGAACGCGCGTCTCCTACTCCTCGCTGGCGTCCTCGTCGCGTACATGTGTTTTGGGGCCGTGCTCTTCAACTTCGTCGAGGATCAGCCAGGTCAGTAGGGACATTATTTAAAAATAATTTTTAATAAAAAAAAAAAAAAAAAAAAATAGAATCCTGTAAGGAAAGAGAAATTTTAAATAGGCGACAGGAGACTTCTAGAGCCACAAAAAGATTTATATAAACCATGGTTTGATTTTATGTAGAAAAACATGTAAATTAAGGATTTTTGTTGTAAGTAAACCACTTTTTTTTTTTTTTTTTTATGGATAGGAAGCGATAACTAATATAAAAAATTGATACAAGTAATTAACAATTATTTTAAAATTAGATATAATTTATTTCAAACGAAAGTAGAGTAATTAACGCGAAATATTAATAGAAGTGATACCAGACATCAACAGCTAACGTTTGTATAAATAATGATCCAATTTTCAACAGAAAAGTAGAAAACATTTTTTTTTTATGGATAGAAAACTATAACTGTAAAAAATATTTATTTAATTAATTGATCATTGCTCCATATTAAACTAGACAAAACTTACTTCAAATTAAAATAGAGTTTGTCATTGTTAAAATTATTTAAAGAGTACTTTTGACCGGCTAAACTAACTGGCTGTAACTTCGTTGATATTTGTCTGAAATGAACGATTTTTATATAATTTTTATAGGGCAATTCATTACCTCTCTTTAATTTGACGATCTCAACACTTCCCTTACCTAGTATAGGTTTTTTTTTTTTTTTTTAATTTCTTTATTGAATATTAATACATTCTGCCACATTGAAGGGCATTAATATTCAGGCTACATGATTCATTCACACAATATGTACATACAATTAATATCAATAATAAAGAAAAAGTAATATAAAAAAATAAGATAAGCAAATTGGTATACCTGTGTACAAAAAAAATAATGAAATAATAGATAAAAGCTAGATGAAATTAAAGTAAATAAATCACATTCACACCTATGTACAATAGTATAGGTAGGAAAGTGATTGGTAATTTAATTACCTGTCAAAAGTTATGTTATAAATTTTACAATAGAATATGTACTTAGCGACTTAGACGTATTTTACTCCCATAATTTGAGTCCCTATTTCTCGTACTCAAAATTTTCACAGTACCAACTCCTTCACGAATTCGGGTCATTTATTTATCTGTATCTATTCATTCAACTATCTATTCGACATATTATTTCTAAAAGGTGTTCTTTTGTCGGTACGCCATAACTTCGTCAATTTTTCATCAATGATTGACCACTCATTTTGAAGATATTCTGCTCCTTCACATGCGAAAAATAAAACTATCCTCCCGAAATATCTCGAAAAAAAGTCATGAAGGAAAAGAAACTTTATGTGCTAATAACTCAAAAAGTATTAAGTTTTTTTTTTCTGGTTGTACCATGATAATTAGAAAAATTACTAAATTATCTACGTAAAAGTCGGTCAATTATTAACAAAGATACCATACATTAGTTTTGGTGTACTTAATAATGTCTTCATCTTTAAAGACATTGCATTTAGGAGTAGAATAGTCTAGTATACTCTTTTTCCTGGCTGATGTATTAATTATATTATTTCTTAAAGGTATTTGTTTGTTCTTACATTTTATTTTTTTTAATAATTTAGAAAATCCCATAATCGGGGCATTATTTTGTCTTTATTACTTTTATTATCTTTCCAATCAGCGTTTAAATATTTAAACATGGTTAGATTTTCCGTAAAAAAAGGAAATTTAGATATTTTTTTTCTTCATGTGAATATAATGCAATAACTAAAATGTAAAATAACTATGATTTTTTTTTATAATTAAAAATTTACACTTTTTCATCGAATTAAGTTGGAGATATCTAAATCAAATAACTTAAATTTTTGCGACCGAGAGTTAACATTTATATTTAATGAATTCTAACGTATTTTACTCCAATAATACGAGAACCTATTTCTCATACTCATAATTTTCATAGTACCAACTCCTTCACGAATTCGGGTCATTTATTTATCTGTATCTATTCATTCAACTATCTATTCTACATATTATTTCTAAAAGGTGTTCTTTTGTCGGAATGCCATAACTTCGTCAACTTTTCATCAATGATTGACCACTCATTTTGAAGATATTCTGCTCCTTCACATGCGAAAAATAATCCTATCCTCCCGAAATATCTGGAAAAAAGGTTATGAAGGAAAAGAAACTTTATGTGCTAATAACTCAAAAAGTATTAAGTTTTTCTGGTTGTACCATAATAATTAGAAAGATTACTAAATTATCTACGTAAAAGTCGGTCAATTATTAACAAAGATACCATACATTAGTTTTGGTGTACTTAATAATGTCTTCATCTTTAAAGATATTGCATTTAGGAGTAGAATAGTCTAGTATACTCTTTTTCCTGGATGATGTATTAACTTTATTATTTCTTAAAGGTATTTTTTTGTTCCTACATTTTATTTTTTTTAATAATTTGGAAAATCCCATTATTTTGTCTTTATTATTTTTATTATCTTTCCAGTCAGCGTTTAAAAATAAGTCCTAGCAAAGCAATTTGTACAAATATTTTGGTCTATTATGTTAAATGGATTATTGTAATCGACCAAGGAAAAAAATAGTAATTCCTTCCTCAGATAATAAATAGGATCTACGTATTTTCTTATTGTTTTTCTATTTCTTCACTAAACAAAATTTTCTGCGAATTATTCTCACGGGTCAATCAGTTTTATATAAACGTTGGTTCAATTTTTGGAAGTAAGTAAGAAATTAATTAATTTTGTCACGTTTTTTGTTGCATGGGTGTAATATAACAATTTTTTATAAAATAGACAAAATCTATTTCAAATGAAAAGCAGATTTTGTCACTGTTAAAACCACTTAAGAGGAATTTTGAGTTGCTGGACTAAACTAAGTTCTGTTTAAAATTAATTATTAGCGATTTTCTTTTGCCGCCCTCCAATTATTCAACAGATACACCTTCTGGTGTATCTTCTGGTTCATGTTTTAAAAACACTTTCTGGTTTGATAAGTCCTTATTAATTATGTTCAAGTTTATAAGGGAAAACTTGAGATTCATCTCATGCTATGTAAAAAATTATGTGATTTTATACCCTGTCATCTAAACGTACTCATTTTTTCAGCAAATTTGAATACAATAAATCATTACAAAGAAAAAAACGTCTGCCAAGTAAGGTCAGTATAGCTTCCTCACCGTTTCCGTTGTATATTACAAGGTATACAATTTTTCGAATGAGAATAAAATCTCTGAGAGAAGCAGAATCGGAATAGCCGATTACAGTTACCCTTCAACATTCAACAACAGAGGGTCGTATTTGAATATTCCATACTTAATTATGCTTAATAAAAAAAAAAAAAAAAAAAAAATGCATACTGAACATGAAATTCAATACTGTTAGTTCAAAAGGTTTATGTATAAATGTATTTATTGTTTTACAAGAGTGCATAAAAACTAAATATTTCTTTGTGCTTTATTAGAATAATTTCATATTTTATTTTCATCTGCTATTTTCCATAGTAGCAGACTACTTATATCAGTTGCAGACTACAAAATATCACCTTTAATATACATAGAATTAAAGTTGAAAATTATTACATACGAACTTATGCTCTAATAATAGTATATACATTACCGAATCAAGATTTAATTTTGGAGGAGGGGCTTCAGCACGAAAGATTTAAATATATATATATAGAACGATAATTAATTTGAAAAAAAACCACTGCAAATTATTTCTCTTTGGTATATTATTTCCAAACAATTATTCATTTAAAGTAACATTAAATTTCTAGTTATAAAGAAAAATAAATAAAAGGTGATTCTAATTATTGTACTAAAATCTTTAGTAATCATTAGTAATATGATAAAAAAGATAGCATTACTTCAGTAACACATTCAGAAATAAAAAAAAAGATAAACCTTTTGCAATAGCACATCTAAAAAACCCTAGAGACGATATCTTTGATCCTAATTGTCCGATTTTGACGATTTTTTTTTTGTTTTTTAAGAAATTCCGTAAACTTCTAAAAAACCATACAATATTGACATAAATGTGTATACTTCTTGAGTTATTCGGAATTTAATTTTACCATCCCTCGTAACTTTTTTTTGAGCTTCTTTTCGTTGAAGTATGTAGTATAGATAAATTTAGAGGGCGTAGAGAAAATGACTTTAGCGAAGTTTCATTAAAATCGGTACATTCGTTTAGGCGCTACAGTCTATAGCGACGCAGGTTTTTCGGCCGCCATGTTGAAACAAGAAGGCGAATAGTAATGTCGTTGAAGGAGTATCATCCTCTGGTGACCTCTGATTTTATATCCAAATTCGAAAAAAATCGGTCTAGTAGTTTCAGAAAAAATGCGCGGACGGCGGACGGCGGACTAGTAGTGCATATATAAGAGAAAGTGTTGGACAGAATTCAATAAAATTGACACTACATTATTTTTTTACCAAAGTCTACCGTTTATCTAACTTTGAGCCAAATCGAACGAGCCCTTTCTGAAATATTGGCATATCAAAAATTATACGTTTGCGCGTGCGTAAGCGGAAGTGCTGAATGCAATTTGATAAAATTGATATAGGACCGTCTAGGCACCAATCAGCATAACCCCTGAAAATTTCATGAAGATAGGATGAACGGTACTAGGTGATATGCCATCACATCGATTTGACTACAGACAGACAGACGGACAGACAGACAGACACCGAACCAAATTTGATCCTTGACGTCTGAAACGTAAAACGCGAGTGAAAATTTTCGATTCTGAGTAAAATATTTTTTTTAATCTCTCGCACGAACATAATGCTTCCCTACCTTCGGTAGTGAGGAAGCAAAATAAATATAGGATTCTGTAAGTAAGAGAGACTTTTAGAGCTACAAAAATGTTTATAGAAACCATGATTTGATTTCAGGTATAAAAACATGTAAATTAAAGATTTAGGTTGTTTTAAGCAAATCACTTTTTTTTTTGTGTGTGTTGAACAGCGATAGAAAATTGCTTTAGAGCAAACTAGAAAAATAATTAAGTCAAAGAAAAGTA